TTGATCCTCAACATATGGAAGGTAGTCAATATTTTAAAAGTTTTCCAGCCTGAAATATTGCCAAAGTTGTTTAGGCAGGAGAGCGATTGAATGTTTGGATCTCTTAATGTTAACAAAACTTTTTGAGCATTTCTCTAGATTTGAAAACCTTTTTTAAGCGAATCATGAAGTTTTTGCACACTATTATAAGATTCGTTCATCCAAAGATAATTCTGTGCTAATTCCAAAGATAATTTTATTTTCATCCAAAGATAATTTTATTTGCTAATTGTCGAAAACACTTTGCATAGCAAAATATAGAAAAAAAATTTCATAATTTTTAGGAAAGTAATTTTAAAGGCAAAATGAGAAATTTGAAAGGGTCTAGGAGCTGAATTCCTCGTAAAGTTAGACATTCAAACAACTAAGATCGAGTAGTAGTACGTACATTAAAGTCCGATCAATAGATAAAATATTTTCAGGGGTTTCCCTTTTTTGCGCCCTGTTTATACATAAATGCGTACATCGTTATTGCATAGCACATGAATACATGCGTACATATATTGAACATAAATTTTGTATATACGTACAAACATACGGGAGTACAAATATACCTACATTTACATAGATACATACATACAATATATGTATATTCATATAAAGTATGTGTATCCTGCAGTGGACTGATCGCTAAGACACGGTTCCCAGCAGATCACCGAAGTCAAGCATCACTGGCTACGGTCAGTGTGGGGATGGGTGACCACTTGGATCAGTCTGCGTAGGGCCCGACAGTGTGCGGTATTGGTCCTCGTTAAACTGTTCTACCGTAAAGTGCTCGACTTCGCTTGCAGGTCGTCGGGCTACCGAAGCGGGGGTGCCACCCCCTCTGCAGAGGATCAAAATTGTGATGGCATGTCTTCGGATCATCCTATGGGGTGTTTCCCAGAACGTCGCCAATAGCCCATCTTGCAGCTCTAGTGCGCGCAGGTCGTCGGACTACAGAAGCGGGGGTGCCATCCCCTCCGCAGAGGATCAAAATTGTGATGGCATGTCTTCGGATCATCCTCCGGGATGTTTCCCAGACCGTCGCCAATAGCCCATTGTGCAGCTCTCCTGCGACGTAAATTAACAACAACAACAGCAGCTCTAGTGCGACGTTAATTAACTACAACAACAACAATAAAGTATGTGTGTATCTACATATATGTGAATTAACGTACATAAGATTATGCATACTTATATGTACTACTTAAAGTATATATACGTATGTACGATACGCGTAAAATAAATGGTCCATTCTAAATAACTTTTCTTCTAATGATCGTATCTTCGCATTCAAGGACTCAATCTTAAAGGTTCGAGAGGATGACATATATGCTAATTAATTTGTGCCCACGATATTTTAAGTTATGAAATCAGACACAAAAACATACTTTCTCTGAACAAACATACCTGTTTTATGGTGTTACTTTGGTTTTTGTCTCTCAAATTATAGGGATGACCGCAATCTGGAAAAAAATAATCCCAATAGTAGTAGTCAGAAGAGCGGTTCAAAGTTTGTACCCCTTAATGTTAATATTTTTTACGTATGAGACCACATCTTGAGAGCATCCGAATTGAAATTTTTTTTGCATTCAATTAAAAAATTCGTTTGTCAAAAGCTAATTCCATGCAAAATATAAATTTTACTCAAAATAATCATTTTTTATTATTTTATTCAATGATAGTCTAAAAAATTTTGAACTTAAGTTAAACAATTTTAATTGGCAAAGCGTAAAATTTGAACGAAATCAATCGAATAGCTCTTAAAAATGCGACTTTTTCAAAATTCAATTTTTCAGGAACTATTCGATCCATTTTACTCAAATGTTGTATTTTACCATTTAAAATTTCCTTCTTTAAAATGTTATAAAAAATTGTATACTTAATAATCAAAAAATTTCTGCTATTACAAAATAAAATTTAAAAAAAAGTAAATATTTAATGAAAGTTATATTTTGCAAAGAATTATCTTTGGATAAACGAAATTTATATTTGTATGTAAAATCACTTTAATTCGTTTTAAAAGTTCTCAAGACATGGTGAAATACGCAAAAAAGTAAAATTAACATTAAGGAGCTTTGAACTCAAACCTCACTATTGGGACGATTTATTTCGGATTGCGAATACTCGTTGGACGGCTCTTTTGACCAACCTATTATTAGGACCATATTTCCCAGAGTGCGGCTACCCCTCATATTTTGTGGGTCAGAAATCCGTCGGGAAAAGGTAGGTTTTTCAGAGAAAGTAAGTTTTATTTTTGTCTAATTTCATAACTTAAAATATGGTTTGCATTAATTAATTAACATATTTGAGATCCTTTTAACCCTTAAGATTGAGTTCAAAAACGTAAATATCCGATCATCTCGCAGCAGTAGAGTGAACTTTAAGACACGGTTCCCAGTAGAACACCGAAGTCAAGGATCACTGGCTACGATCAGAATGTGTGGATGGGTGATCACTTTGATCAACCTACAAAGGAACCAAAGGTGTGCGGTATCTATCCTAATAAAGCTTTTCCACCATTAAGAGCTCGACTTCACGCGCAGGTCGTCAAGGAGGAGATCCATCCCCTCTGCAGAGGATCAAAATTGTGTTGACATGTCTTCGGATCATCCTCAAGAATGTTTCCCAACTCTACACCTATAGCCCATTGTTCATCGTTAGTACGACATAGACCAACAAAAACAACCGATCATTAATTCAAAAAATTTTCAGAGTAGCCTGCTTTTTGTTTTCAACAAGTAATTTATTCATTCTACGTCCATATGACATACAATGTACTCATGTGTGCATGCACTATATGCATGTACTGTCTAATAACAATGTTATTCATACAACGATATTTAAAGTAACCACAGATATGTAATTATATACTGCGTGCGTATGCAGGTATTTTTATTTATACGTGTGTATGCACCTGTATACATATAATGTACGCATGCATTCCTGTACGTACAATATACGTTTTGTGTCTATGTACGTACATACAATTCATGAGTATATGCATAAAATTTCATTCAATATACGCAAGTACGCACACAAAAATTTCCTCTTATTTTTCAGAGAAAAGAGCATATCTGACGAGGAAGTAATTTATTTTAATGAAGATTGTTTCGCTAATTCCTTCATGTTAAATATGTTACGTATTCACTGGTGGTTATTATACCTATAATATCATTTGTTTATGTATTGACGAAATAGTTGATTTAATTATGGTATATCTGTTTTGTATTATTCTAATGGTTATTATACAGATAATATTTTTATATATTAACAAAATACCTAATATAATTATGGCATATCTGATTTGTACAAATGCACTTGTCATATACTAATTGTTATGATAATCATAATATTTATTTGTTGTTGTGCATTAAAAAATATGTTTGGAATTTCTACATTCATTAAACGATTTTTTTTTAAAAAAATATTTTGTTATCATTAAATTTCCTACATTTATCATATCATGCATATTAAGTAAGAGATAATTAAACAGTTGCATTTTAGTTATTTTGACAAAAGAAGATATTTCATGTTAATTTTCTTTGATATACAAAAAACTGAACACTTTTGACTCATCAAAATTTCTCACACCGCATAAATTTCTGAATAAGAAAGAAGAAAATACGCAGACCCTATTTGAGTATTACATTGTTTGTCTGTTTGTTTTGTTAATTTACGTCGCACTAGAGCTGCGCAATGGGCTATTGGCGATGGTCTGGGAAACATCCCTGAGGATGATCCGAAGACATGCCATCACAATTTTGATCCTCTGCAGAGGGGATGGCACCCCCGCTTCGGTAGCCCAACGACATGCATGCGAAGTCGAGCACTTTACGGTAGCACAGTTTAACGAGGACCCATACCGCACACCCTCGGTCCCTACGCAGACTGATCCAAGTGGGTCACCCATCCACACACTGACCGCAGCCTGTGATGCTTGACTTCGGCAATCTGCTGGGAACCGTGTCTTAACGATCAGTCCACTGCTGGACTTGAGTATTACATATGTTCTATTAATTTTGTGTTTTTATTAATCAAATCGTTAAATAAAAAAAAAGTTTCATATTAAACGATATTTTTACTTGTAAATCATTAATTTCTTACAGCAAAGTAAGTCAGACTGATAAAAAATGACTATTTCCCCCAAAATAATCAAGCAAAATTGTTGTAAAGGAGAATTTTCCTCGGACTGGGAAAGCTATAAGAAGTAAAATATAAAACAAATAATGAAAAGTCGTCATACAATCGTGGGAGAGATGACATCACGTTCAGAATGACGTTTTAGCTGACGTACACTAGCAATAGCATTAAATTGCATTGTCAATGAAAATCTTATGATAGGGTAGATTTTAGCTGAGCATACGAAAACGCTGCAAACGGAAACCTTATAATTATGTAGATTTAAAATGATTTTCATCTTAGAACTAGCTTTATTCAAGGTTTTTCTTCCCGCTTGAAAACCCTAAGACAACCTCGTTTTAAGGTTGTTATGTTGAAGGTTGTTTTCCAAGGTTTTGGAATCGGGTAATGTGCGTAGAATAGAGCAGATTGTCGCAGACCTCGTTTTAAGGTTAGAAGGTTTACACGTAAACCGTGTAAAAAACCCTTTTTAGGTTTGCATGAAAATATTTTTGTTGTGTTGAAAAAACCTTATATTGCTATCTGGGATAAAAAGTGGCGCTTAAGAATAGAAACGCCGTATTTCTAAATTGCGAGTTGCTGTCACCAAGACGACGTATCACTATTTAATCAACGTATCCAGGAGCTATAGTCAGGAGCAGTAGCATAGAAAAAGTTTGTAATTAGTTATTACTATCGCTATCTGTCAATGATTTAATTAACTACTCCGTCCAAAGTCAAAAATCTCGCACCCAGTTGGAAGGTTTTCAATATTTGGCAACTTATCGCCGTTTGTAACTGGCAGAGGCGTCAAAATTTAATCATTGCGCATGCGCATTTTTCCTAAAGTGGTGTCTCTGTAGGAAGTTTTTGATCTGGTTTCGATGCCCAGCTATTTTTTCGAGGGACTGCATGGCAATGATCTGACATCACATGATGATTGTGTCATTTGTTGTTATTTAGTTGCAATAGCTGTTATTGAAAATGTCATGTTTAATTAAAAATTAAGTTATATGAATTAAAGATTTTGTTTTGGCCGACTGTGATTTCATTTTCTATTTAACTTCCTCCGTTTCAAGTTCCTCTTATTCATAATGAAACAAATTTGTGTTTTTTCAATATTTATTCTTCTAAACTTTGCGTCATGCACAAGACTTTTTAAGTAAATCCTTTCTGCCATGGTTTTCCTATTACCTGCTTAGAAATATGTGTATTAAGTGCTGATAATGAATTTTTTATAATTATCTTAGTTTAATTTTGATAAAATGCATTATTATGTTTCTTTATCGTTGGCGAATTTATCAGATGTTTAATCTGCTAATCTCTGGTTTGGATCAATGCTGCTGTCTTTCTAAAATCTCTAATCAAACGGAGTTTGTGAATTTGTTTAATTTTTAGTCGTTTGATTCTAAAATGCGTCAGTGGTCATTATTTTCAAACAAAAATTGGTTTTATACTTATTAATGCACACTTTTAACCATTTGTTTGCATTCATTATTTTAATAACATAAAATAAATACCAACGTTCGTTTGTATTTTTTTTATGAATTTTCTCATTGAAAATTGTATTTATGCATGCAAGAATCTATGTTTTAATTTATCTCGTTTAATTTGAATGAAAGGGTTTCATTTACTTCCTTCAAAAATATAATTTTTAATCATGATGCTTATGAGCATCTCTTCAATCTTGAATTTATCGCTTTTTCTATTTGTTCTTTAAATTAAAATGTCCTTAAAAATGTTACAAACATTTTTCTATTTATTTTTCAAGTTAATTTTATTCCAATATTATATTATAATGAAAATATTTTATATTTCATATTTATCGCACATAATGATGTCGCACTATAACAGATCGATTGAACTTTGGTGGCTGCAACAAAATGAGTACTATGTTTGAGCTTGCATTTTCTCCTAGTGTTTTGAAATGCTGAACAAGATTATTTTATTAAAATATTTTTCTTTATTTTTTTGGAGATAGGACAAGAAATAAGCAATGATGAAGCAAAACCAGGGTTGCCACGCCACAGGGAGAACCTGAAAAATACAGGGAATTTAAAAGTCACCTAAAATTACAGGGAATTTTTAGTTTTTCTTTATAAACTGGGAAAATACTTTTGTTTCTTATTTTTCATCTTTTAAAAAAAAAAAAGATGACCACTCAAAGCGTTATCTATGGGATATTTCATCTATATTAAACTGTTTCATTTACTCTGGCATTATTTGATATAAATATATTCTGTTGTGTACCTTTTTTCTCTTAGGTAATTTAGTACACTATAGCTCACGCAAAAAGTAGACATATGAATAGATTTATGAGTGGTTTATTATTTAATGATGGATGCAAAAAAATGTTCAAGGTTGATTATTATCTAATATGGCACCTATCATTGATTTAATATAGGTGCCATTATTATGGAAGGATACATTTTGGAGTGAGTGAGTTATAAAATTCTGGTAAACAACATTAGATCGTGTTAATGGGTCAAAAAATAAGTTTAGTCTTAAAAATTTTTTAGAATGGCACTAATGTGTATGAGAAGTCCTAAAGGTAATTTTCTACAAATGCTGTATGAGAAATAAAAAAAAACAGCTGAGAATCGTAATAATTGTTTGATTCGAAGGATTTTTGGTACATACAAATGAAAAAATTAATACTAAAATGTAAATGTAAAATGTACTAAAATAACCACAAGAAATTGCTGTGAGAAAGTGAGGGATTCACAGAAGGAGATTAACATTGATGATTTTCAATATGATGTGTAGTCTTTCACTGGTTAATGTGTTCACAATTGCAAATGAACAAAGTTGAATCAAAGGAAAGTCAATCATTCTGGGTTCCATAGCTGAAATAAATTAGGCAATGCTGCCTTAAGATATCATTATTGATTTTGTAGATCAGAGTTTTTTGAGACTCTGAAATCTTTCACATTAGCAGATCAGAATTTCAACTTTTGTAATAGATTTTTTTATTCTTCCTCTAAATTTTTATTTACATTTTGCAGAATTCCTCTCCTCCGAATGCAGTCTATTCGTGAACACATGCACGAAGTTGGAACTCCTATACATATCGTCAATCAAAAGTGGAGTCATTTAGAAGCAGGACCTTTTCCCGAGCCTTTATCTAATTATTTAGATGTAAGTAATAACTTTTATTTATTTATCTATTTTTTTTAAAAAAATTAAGTTTTTATTTTAGACATTTTTATTATAAATAAAAAGTCTTATACTTTTTTTGGTATAAATTTGTGCTTTTTTTAGTAATTTATGTGTATAAAGATCTGATTTCTTGAAAATATGTCTGCATCTCACCTCTTACTAATTTAAATAAATAAAATAATCATTTATAGCAAAAAGTAACTAAAGTTCTAAATTCATTCAATCAGGTTCCAACTTAGCTTGGTTGGGGCCCCCCTCTGCTTCACCACTTCCGTGGTGAAGAACCGAACTTTATGGAGGTATTTAAGTTTTTACCTCATTATATACATAAATAACAAGAAAATTGACTATAACCTAAATTAGCTATAAAATCCCCTTCCCCATCCAATGCTCAGGCGAAATATTGTTCTGTCCATTTTATTGATTTTCTGACAATTCCATGCAATTTTGCTGATTATTAACTTTGTCATCTAACTGCGAAAAATTCATGTCCTTGCTGACATTAGGGCAGAATTAAATTTTCGCAATTACGATGGCTCAATTAACCCCTTAACGCACATATTTTTTTAATTTTAGTAAATATTCAAATATTCATTATTTTTTATTATTTTATTTATTAATAGTTGAAAAAAATTTTAAATTGTAAGGTATACCATTTTTTACATAATTTTATGTGTAGTTTTACTTGACAAAATACAAAATTTGAACAAAATCGGTAGAATAGTTCCTGATAAATCCAATTTTCAAGTTTCCGATATTTAAAATTAAATTTCTCAGATACTTTTCACCCGATTTTGCTTCAATTTTATATTCTACCATCTAAAATCACATACTTTAAAATGATATCAAAAATTGTATACCTTACAATTCAAAACTTTTCTACTAAGAATAAATAAAATAATGAAAAATTATTAATATTTACTGAAAATGATAAATATTATAAAATTAATTTATCTTTGGATGAATGAATCTGATAATTGAGTGCAATTTTTTTCAAAATTCACTCTTAAAGAGTTCTCGAAATATGGCGTATTAATCAACAAGTGAAATTAACATTAAGGGGTCCTAACTTTGGACTGCTTTCTTGACCTCGTGAATCAGTTATTGGGGTGAATGATATGAGGCCCAATATTTTCTATTACTAATGGCTGCCACATATTGTGTAAAAGCATTCTTTTCACGTTCTATTCAATGTTTTCACAATTTTTTCAACCACAATCTATTTCAGCGTACTTGCATCTCATAGCGTATGAAAGCACCAATAATTTTACAGCTTTGATGAAATACTTACGAGTCTGCCCGTGTGCATTGTGAGCTGGGTTCATTGGGATTATTGCACTTTTATGTGCAATTCTGCTGCATTTTGCAAGATATTCTCAATTTTAAGCTTCATTTTCCACCCTCTGAAATCGAACCATAAAATCTTTTGATCAATTTTTAATGGCTAATCAGGGGTCTGTCCAGGCCAAATTTACTACTGTTCAGCAGCATCTTCACAAATTCAACTTTAGGAAAAAAATTCTATTTTTGTATCCTGTAAGAAACGATAAATCCATATTTTTGTGTTGATTTTTAAATATAATTTTTAAATTTTCACAAATTATGTCTACATTTTCACAAAATAGGTACCTCTCAGAAAAACCTAGACACACCCTTGCTATTATTTTATCATGGTCATGTAAAGTCTTTGAAAATTATTTTACATTTTGTTATGTATAGGGTGCTTAAAAATATATTTTGAGTCCTTAAAAGGTGCTTATTTTTTGTAGAAAGAGTTGGCTATGCACCCTGACTAATCCTTTTTTTCTTTTAAAAAACATATTAGGTTATTTTACCAACATTACATTACATTTAAACTATTTGCTATTTTACCTATTTTGTTACATTTTGTAACGGTTGCACAAAATAAGGTTCAATACAATTTTCACACTATGGTTATCAACAACTTCCTACCTTTGCTCACATATTAAGATTCTTACAAATTATTTGCAACTGTAACGTATATGCACATGTCACACAATACAGCACAATCAGCTAGTTTATTTTTTAAAAAGCATTAAATTTTTAAAAAATAAAAGCTGGATTAATAGATCTGCTTTATATTACATAAAAAATACAGTCAAAACCCATTATAATGGCTCATAATGTTATTTTTATGTGGATAGAGTGAGCCATCAAAAGAAGTCTCTCTTCTACTCATTTCTTCATTTTTTGGTAGTTTTGAAATGTCTACATGAAATACCGATTTTTAAAACCATCTATTGAGTAGAATGTAGCATTTTTTCTTATTCCATCTCAGTTTTCCCATCCCTAAATTTATTGTACGCAAGACGAAGAGTCGTAAAAAATAAAAGTGAACACGTTTTTTGTGACTATATATTATTGTTCAATCATATTTGTATTTCATTTTATGTGTCATTTATTTAAATAATGTGTCATAAAAGGGAGCAGTTCTGAAAAATTGGGTTCGAATGGTTTGCAGTACGAATAGAGTGAACTCCCGGTTATAGTGAACCGAAATTTCGGTTTCTTGAAGGTTCACTATAGCGGGGGTTGGACTATTAGATTTAATTGAGATTTATGCATTAAATATGCCATTCGTGAATAGTGAAATGGCTGTCGATAGAGAAGAATGAAAGTAATTCACTGAACGTTTTTTTTTCCTAATTTTTAAAGAACTCAAAGTGATTTTAATTTTTAAAAAATGTCTCTTAATTTTCAATGTCTTTATATATACAGTGATGGACAAAAGTGTGGACACTTTTTGAAAGTTTCATGTTTTTCAACTTAGTGTGCTTGTAGAATATATTAATTTTTACTTAAATACAAACGTTTATATATCAAATTGAAGGTAATTTAATGTAGAATTTAATAATAAATACAGTATTACAATATCTGTATTACAAAACAAGTTATGCAATTAATAGTAAGATCTATCTTAGATTTGCATTTTTTTAAAGTGATACTTATACACTAAATACTTAGTAGGATAACCCTTAATTTTTAAGACAGCTTCACAGCGTCTTCTCATCGAGTGAACGAGTGTTTGGAGTTCATCTTTCGTAATCACGCGGTGCCAAGAATCAATTATAGCTTCACTTAGTTTTCTTTTATTGGATGGACGTTTTTTTCGTGTAAGAATTTACCACAACGTCGCCACAAATTTTCAATTGAATTGAGATCAGGGTTGTTTTCTGGCCATGGTAATATATCTATGCCTTTATTTTGAAGGCATGCTTTGCATACTTTTGCTGTGTGGCATGAAGCTGAATCCTGCTGAAAAGTAAATGGTGCGTTGTTGGAGAAGAGATCCCTGATGGAAGGTATAAATTTTGGTTTCAGGGCAGTTTCGATGTATCTTTTGGCATTCAGGATGTCATCAATCACTTGAATTCGGAGCACACCATCTGCAGATATACATGCCCAAATCATGACATTTGTTGTATTTTTAGTAGTTGCTTCAATGCAATCAGGATGAAGCGCTTCACATACTCTACGTCTCACGTATTTTCTACCATCACTTCCAAAGAGCGATATTTTACTCTCATCAGTCCAGATTACTTGCTTCCATTGATTTTCTGACCATTTAATGTGTTCTTTTGCCAACTTAACTCGTTTTTCGCGTTGCTTTTCTAGCTTGTAGTCCAAATCCTGATAAGCTTCTTCTTATTGTTCTTGAACTTACTGCAATACCAGCTGCATTCATTTCACATCTAATGGCATCTGATGACATTTTTCTATCTTGAAGGCATAGCCATTTAATTTTTCTATCGGTAGTAGCACTTGTGCATTTTTTTCGGCCTGATTTGGCAGCCTGAATGCCAAAAAATACATCGAAACTGTCCTGAAACCAAAATTGATACCTTCCATCAGGGATCTCTTCCCCAACAACGAACCATTTATTTTCCAGCAGGATTCCACTCCATACCACACAGCAAAAGTATGCAAAGCATGCTTTCAAAATAAAGGCATAGATATATTACCACGGCCAGGAAACAGCCCTGATCTCAGTCCAATTGAAAATTTGTGGCGACGTTGTGGTAAATTCTTGTACGAAAAAAACGTCCATCCAATAAAAGACCACTAAGTGAAGCTATAATTGATTCTTGGCACCGCGTGATTACGAAAGATGAACTCCAAACACTCATTCACGCGATGAAAAGACGCTGTGAAGCTGTCTTAAAAATTAAGGGTTATCCTACTAAGTATTGAGTGTGTAAGTATCACTTTAAAAAAATGCAAATCTAAGATAGATCTTACTATTAATTGCATAACTTTTTTTGTAATACAGATATTGTAATACTGTATTTATTATTAAATTATACATTAAATTACCTTCAATTTGATATACAAACGTTTGTATTTAAGTGAAAATTAATATATTCTACAAGCACACAAAGTTGAAAAACATGAAACTTTCAAAAGGTGTCCACACTTTTGGCCACCACTGTATATATATATTAAAAAAAAACGATTGCTATGTGTAGAAAGAAATTTCGTGAATCATTTATATCTAAAGTGTAAACTTGTGTGTGTATAGATAAGATTATTTGTTCATCAAATTTTAAGGAACTTTCTAGTTCTGTAATTCTGAGAGAAAGCGATACTTATCAGAAAAAATTTACTTTCGAACAATAATAATGTAATATCAGGAATGTTATAAGAGCTTTGGAAGAAATATCTGAAGATGACGTAGTAAAAATTTCAACAAGGTATAAAATTTAATAAAACATTGTTTGGGTATCTACTCCTTTTTAAAGTAAATACATGTTATGCAACTTTTAAAATGTCAGTACAGGTATTATTTTGATAGAATTATTTTAAAAAAAATTTTATTAAAAATTATATTTTCAATATTACAAAATTGTAAGCGCTTCTCTTTAATATACCATGATATAAAAGTAAGACTGTACATTGTACACAGGGGTTGGTCCGGGGTAAATTTACTTCCGTTTAGCGGTACATTCAGAAATTCAACTTTATGAAAAATGGTAGTTTCACAAATAAAAGAGTAAGTTCTCATGCAGACCTTGTTCTCGTTGCAATCTATGGAAAAGAAGAGCTTTTCTGCCAGCTGTCTTCTACGAAAAGGTAGCACATGTTTGGTCAGATAATGCAATGTGGTATGCGTAACTGGTCACTTCCGCCATATCAAAATGAATTTTTTTATTCGCTAATTTTTTTAAAATGAAAAAATAAGGCTATCCTTCTATAAATTTTACAATAAGTCGAAATTCAGACATTATCTTAAACACCATTGTAAATTTATTCTAAGAAACCTTTATTTGTTTTATGAACCATTTTTTTCTCTGTGAAACTTTTTTCTGTATGACCCAGTTGAAAATGCTCTTAGAATTAAATTATCTTTTAGTATTAGTACCTTTAAATGTATGTTTTTTTATTAAATTCAATTTGAAATTTAACTATGGACAATGATTTTTATGGATTTTGAAATTTGGATACAATTTTTAGCCCAAAATTTTACAATAGCAAAATTGTTTTTGAATATATGGGGGAAAATTTTTTAGAAATTTAGCAGTCATAAATGATTTTTACTTGTAGTGACAATTTTTGAAAATATTATCTTACTTTACCCTATTTTTGAGTTGCTTTTTTAATTTAATTTTCACAAATTATGTCTAAACTTTCACAAAACCTCATAAAAAAAAACCTAGACAGACCCCTGGTATATGCATTTGATGGAAATATTGCAGACTAGTAGATCCAATTTCTAATACAATATACATAGCTGCCAAGTGTACAGATTTTATCGGAACGGTTCCGATTTTTATGCCTTGTTCCGATAATATGATTTTGGGTCAAAATGTTCAGATTTTTCATAATAGCGTAATTTTTTCTTTTACCCTATAAAGCGATCCATGTCCGATTGGCGAAATCCAATCAAGTCGCGTTATCACTTAGCTCCGCCTCTAGCTACATTCGTCTATTTGATGACGTATGTACAGGTCGCTTCACAGACACCAAGAGGAAATTTTAGCTTCCTGACTCCTTGTCTTTTACTTGCAACCATGAATGTTTACTCGGAACGCATCTCTTCAATTTGAGTTTAGCTTTGAATGTTTTTCCACGTGGTAATCTGAAAAAATGTCAAAAATTCGGCGAAGTCAGTGTTTTTGCGACAATTATAGTGAAGAATTTGATTTCATCAAAATATCAAGAAAGGGGACATCGTACGTGTTATGTATTGCTTGCAATACAGACATTAGTATAGCTCATGGCGGAAAGTGTGATATCATTTCACACAGGAAAACAGCCAAGCATGCTACCGCATATACAAATATGAAAAAGTTGGCAAAAATTTCCGATTTTGTGTCGTCCACTATTGATCTACAATCAATTAGAAGCGAACTATTGTTCACAGGATTTCTCCTTGAACACAATATTCCGTTAGCTGCCACGGACCATGCATCAAAGTTGTTTTGTGCGATGTTTCCAAAAAATAGGACTGAGTTTAGGTGTAGCATGAATGCATCTACTTTGCAGGCAATTTTGATTTACCAAGTCCCAAATGCCTTGTTATAGACAAGTTAGCCTTGTTATAGACAAGTGTTTGATGAAAAGTTTTTAAAATCAGCCAAATCTGCTGCAACTGTAGCACTTAACAAGAATAATTGATTATTTTTTTTATATGTGTTTATTGTCACATATGTTTGAGTAATAATAAAATATTTTGTTTTTAAATATGTTTTAAATTACTAAAATCAGCTATCATTTCTGTTTAATTAGTTTGTTGAATAAGAATAATAATCAGAAATCTTGTCAGTTGATATGTATTATAATCAATAATGATTGTTACATTAAATCTTATACAGTTACAATTATGCAAACATTTAGTGTAAAGAAGTAAACTTTAATGTTGGGACCGCGTGACGTGTTCCTATTTTTTTCCCTGACAGGTTGGCAGGTATGAATATATCTTCTTTCTATACTCTTAATTTTACTCTATACTTAAATTTCTAATACTCTTAATTAAATCTTGTGCAATAGATATGAATCATTAAGAATTATGTTAAAGTATTTATCTTTCAGGCCCAATACTATGGAGCCATCAGTATTGGTACTCCACCACAGCCTTTTAAAGTTGTTTTTGACACTGGATCATCAAATCTTTGGGTGCCTTCAAAGAAGTGTAAATGGACCAACATAGCTTGTTGTTAGTATATTTCATTACTTATTTTGAAAAGAACTCTACAATGTCTTTTGACTGCCTTTTAAATCAGAGATTATTGTGCTCCTCAAAAAAATCCCGATTTTTCTTTAATCCGAAGGAGTTGCAAGGTCCTGAAATTTCAAGTTATGTTAAGAATTTATATTGGCTAACGATATTTTTTATCTAAACTTTATTCCGTTCTTTTTTTATTTACTTATCTTTGATATTTTTTCCGAAAGACTTTCTCGTTCTTTGTTGGCAAGCCGCTAGCAGAATAAACGGATCCGTTTTTAATAAATAAAAAAAATTGAGTCAATAGAATATTGCTTAGCACTAACTTTCTCGTTTTCATTAGAATATGTGTCCGCAGTCTATTGTTTTATTAATTTGTTTATTTATACTATTACTAGTGTGTGCAAAGGTATGACTGCGCCTCATAAATATTGAATCAAACATACAATTTATTTGTAGATGAAGCATACTTTATTCAATTAATGAATTGTTTTTTAATATTATTTATTTATTTATTATTATTGTAATTAGAGCCCGGATTTTGATGACCTAAAAAATCTCAACTAATGCCCTTAAAAAGTGCAAAAAATGCAAAACATGCCCTTAAAAAAGCGAAAATTGCGCTAAAAAAACCTTATGACATGACTTAAATAAGGTAAAAATATCGAACTAAAACAATGTTTTACTCTTTAAAATTATGAGTCATTTAAAAAAATATAAAGCAGTGCAATACTTCTTCTACGTTCATTAAAGTTTAAAAAATATGTTTTATATCCTAAAATAACAGCAAAAAAAAAAGGAAAATATATTGATACCAAAACATTTTCATTTTGTATAGAAACTTTAATGAATATGACAACTTACATCTCATAATATTACTAAATATCAGAATAACATTGGATTATTAAATGTTTTTTGATATTTTGAAATGTAAACGAGCGTCTCTTGTCTGAAAGTAAATTTTTATACCTGGAGCAGCTTCTTTCAACGTCTACTTATGTTAATGGTGCGAACTTGAAAAAGACGACCCCACTTACTGAGAAATCTTCTTCAATTTGAAAAGTTGTTGCGTCACCTATTAGTATCCTAGAGATTTTCTTCACTGTTTGGAAGCCAGTGTTCTTCTCCAAAACTTTGTTAATTTAGTTGCTACACTTTGTCCTATTTTTTCCCTTGCTTTTGGCAACACTTGACTACATCAATATAATTTATTGCATTGCAAAGTTCCAATTCTTGTTTCTCCAAGCTTGTAATTGTCGAGGACAGTATAGCAAAGTTAGACTTGATAAATGCTAAGTTTCCTTTGATTTTATCAGAAGCGAGCATGTTTAGCGCTATCTTAAAATTTTCACTGTAGTATAAGCATGCATCCAACCAGATACCCCATTATGTGATTACTGGTTAAGGGGGCAAAGCTGACTGGGAGCAAATGTTTTGAAACATTCTTTGAGAGATACAATATGAAATGTAAAATTATAAGACAAATCTTGCTTTTCATGTAATAAAAATACCCCAAAAAATAATAAAAATTGGAAAAAATTAACAAAAACTTTAAAAATGCTTTAAAATACAAAATACCCCCAAAATTTTAAAAAAATGCCCTATAAATCTTAAAAAATGCTCTAATAGACAAAAAATTTCCAAAAATGCAAAAAAAATGAAAATGTCATCAAAATCCGGGCTTTAGTAATTATGTATTCAATCATATTAAGTGCAATTAGTGATAAAAGCATACTTATACGTAATAATTTATTTAAATTATGCTGCCTATAATTTATTTTGAATTTCATGTTTTGAAAATAACAATGATTTCAATTTACGAAGATATAAATTTTTTGAAATGTGTCATTAATGATTTTATTCAAGAAATTTTCAGGATTTTTGAGTTGCGCTCACAGTCACCCCTGTTTAGATGGAACAAGATGAAATTCATTAAATAATAATAAAATGCGCACAGCTGAATCATTTTTCTGAATGTGTGTTACTGAGGCAGCACATTTAAAATTATAGTCTCTTATATAATTTGATATATTATTATAAATATTTTGTTTTCTGAAAGTATTCATAATTTTTTTAAAGATTGAATAAGTGAGAACAAAACCTAAAAGGGGAGAAATGCTCAGATAATGAAGAGTTTATTTCATTTCTTTTACATAGTTTTTTAAAGAGCAAACTAATTTTTAATACTTAATGATGAAAGGTATTCTTCTTTCATAAAGTGAAATGTTGTTATAACTTTTTTTAAAAAATAAATCAACTCTAGTATACTAATTTATATTTTCTATATTTTGCTAAATTTTGTTGGCTCATTTTCCTACAGACACACATTTAAATTTTTTAAATTAACTTTAGACATCCCCTCATTTTATTCTTGAGATTTTTTACGAATTTCACTCTTCTTAGCGTTGAACTTTTTAGTTTTAAATCTTAATTGAGCTAATTTCAACTTCCTTCAGAAATTTTGAACCTTTCCTTATACAGTGAACTCTCGTTACTACAATATCTGATACAACATTAGCTCCCTCTATTACAGTGATGTTTCGTGGTGTCGATGAACTTGCATATGAATTAATGTTTTCCACCTCTCACTATTACGATATTCACTGAAGCAATAAAACCCCTGTAAAACGATTGTTTTTCTTCCTTCAAATTTCGACCTTATTCTCTCCATTTATTATTGGTTTTCAAATAATCTAAAAAATCTTATTTTATCATCTTTTACCATTTTTTCTGACAAGAAAGAGGAGACACACCGCCCAAGAGCTTCCTTTCTCAAAATTGCCTCCCTTATCTCTTATCATTCCTATCTGATTTCCTTCATGTTAAAACCTGATCATGAGTTGACCACAATCATCACAACTGAAAGAGAAAATTTTGTGGATTCACAAATGAGTTCTTTGGACTCAATGCATACTTTGTGGGTTGACTTGACAGTCAAAAAAATGAATAAACAAACATATCAGATTATTTTTTAATAAAAACGGTTTTCAAGTATGTTTACAATCTTATTTTATTAATGTATTTAAATTGTTTTTACTATTTAATCATAATTAACACGCATAATATATAAAATGCATTTATAGTTAATGCACATATAACATTAAATTTTTAAAAATTTTTTTTTATTGTGTCCCCAAAGTATGCAGACCCTCCATATAATAATATATCGCTCTACAACACTATATTTATTGTGTCCCCAAAATATTGCTGTAGCGAGGTTTTACCGTCTATATATGCGTATATATATCAATAATAATCATAAATGTGAGTGTGTGGGATTTTGGGATTTAAACCACGATTTAAGTCCGATTGGTTTAAATGACATTGGTCACCACAATTTTTTTTTTTAAATCAAACTTGTATTCTTTGACTATTCATAAAATGAACGTAAATTATTATTTAACCTTTTGTTTTGAAATAAACCACAAAAAATATTTTTTTCTTCTTAATTCTTTGTAGTACACGAATACCTGATCATTATATTTTTTATTTTGCATACTTGTTTGATAAAATAAGGACAGTACTGTAAGAAATAGTGTGAGTGTATAGTTTGTCTAAAGTAAGAACTCCCTATGCCATTCGTTTGGACCTGTGGTGATGACTATGGCAGCGAGGTATAACTATTTCAAGTAGGGCGTTGTTTAGGACAGGTTTTGGCACGGTCTGGACGGAGAGAGAAAGGGAATCTTTTTCTTCGATCTATCGTGTTAGTATTAGAGTGAAGCGTCCCTACCTAAAATGAGCCATTCATATTTCCATAACACCAGACTGCCTCAGACTTTATGGCAGGGGGAGTTCTTACCATAGATAAACTATATATAAGTAAATGTTTATTTATAAATTCATAATGCTCAATTGTGTTTGCAGTGCTTCATAATAAATACGACAGCTCGCAATCCAGTACATATAAAGAAAATGGGACTGAATTGGAGATTCGATATGGCAGTGGAAGCATGACTGGATTCTTGAGCACAGATATTGTGACAGTTGGTGGCTCTAAAGTAATAATTTAATTTTTTTTTCATACCTTTGTGTTAGAGCTGCTGTGATTAATATCTTTGCTTATCTATTTAATTTCATGATTTTTTTTAAAAAAAAATCATTAATTTAAATCCAGGGTATCTGCAAACCTGGAAAGTCATGAATTTTGGTACTGAACAAAATTTATCATGATTTTAACTATTTTTTTATATTTTTTTTAAGAAAAAATCATGGATTTAGGTCACCAAAAAATCTAATTTTTAAAAGGAATTTATCCCTCCCCCCACAATTCTAAACTTTTGTGATTTCAGAATTTTTGTTATTTATTTTTTTTATTTTATAAATTTAAAATTTTAACTGAAGCAAGCCAGTCATTGGCAAATTTTCTTTATTCCGAAATGAGGACAGAAAAAATCAGGAGTATTTCTTTTCTTTTCGATGAACAAGAAAAGTATCTGTAGAATATAATTCTGCAGAGGAAAAAAAGTTTTGCTTTTCTATTTTTTTTCCACTTATTTTATTGCTTCAACTCTTTCTTTCCTCTGTTTTTTAAAATCTATAAATATGAAGATGCAGAGTATAACAGTTTTGGTTATACCCATCATTTCAATTAATGTTATTATAATGATTTTTTAAATGTATTGTTCAGTTTTTGTCAGGAGAAAATAGTAATTTTGTAATTCATGAAAAAATTCTTTGAATTAGTCATGAATTTGGAAAATCTAAAATGTAGCAGATTCCCTGTATATAATCTTTTCCTCCGGTAATCAAGCAAATTTTTTTTGATACCCTGTAAATCACCTGATTTTTTTTTTATTTATGTGAAGCGAGCCATGCTGTCCCAGGGGATAGGGTGCTCACCTTCCCATGAGTTGAACCGCGTTCAGTTCCCAGCGAGGCTGGTCGATAAGAATTCTGCACCTGACCACAGTACTGGTGTGAAATATACTCAGTGGTATGTGGATTATGGGTTAGAGGCACCTTGCCGTCGGGCTGACCTTGGGAGGTTCTCGAGGTTTCCCTCTCCATGTAGCGCAAATGCGGGTTAGTTTCATCAAAAAGTCCTCAGTGAAGACAAATTTCTACCCCAACTTGATCCAGGAATTCCCTTGTCTTCTGGATTGGGTTCAAAATGACAATGCTATGAAACATTCGTAGTTGTAAACTCAAATTTAGACCGACTGTTTAAAGACAGTTATAAAATAAAATAATTACGCGAGTCATAAGTATTTTAAATCCTGATTTTATTGATTTTCAAGGTTTTATTCACAGAAATAATCAGAGGGGGTGTTAGCTTTTACAGCAATCGTATTAAAACCATTTTCTTTTATTTCCACTGGCATGCACAGACAAAAAGTGGTTTGGTTGTCTAGCAACCAGTCAGAGTTACAATTATTTAGACTATCCATTCTTGTGATTGATGTCACAGCAAGGGGAATGCATGTTAATTATTTATGACCAAAATAGACTAATAAATTTAAAAAAAAGAAACTGTAGTGAATAAAAATTGAAAATGATTTTTTTTAAAGGAAAAAAAAAGGTGTTTACTGATCCTGATTGTTGGTTGCAGAAATAACTTGTTAAAAAGGAGAAAGATCTTCAACTTGTTATTATCAATTTATTTTATGTTTTTTTTTTTAAAATTAATATTCTGTTTTATGTAAAATTGGTTCACACGTTCATTTGTTTCTTTATGTTGTAAAATATGAACTCAGTCTTTATAAAACACAGTTACTTACAATGATGTTTTAAGTGTGATCATCAGTATATGGGGATTCATAAAATAATTTAAAGTGTTCTGAGCCTGATTAATTCGTTTCTAGAAAACTACTAAATCAAATGAGACATATAAAAACGTATATTTTTCGTAAAGCGTCTGCATGTATATTTTTCTAATAACCCGAGAACAGGAACAGTAGTTTGCCAATTTTCAAGAAGTGGTTTGTAAACAATCACCTCTTTCTGATGCTTTGTAGTTCAAAGACAGTATTGAACATGGTGCATAGCGATTTTAAAAAGTGCTAAAAGGTGCTTATTTTCCAATTACGTTTCTTAAGAGGCTTTTTTTATGGGGTGTTTTTAATAAGTGCTTAATTTTCCCTTTTTGAAAATGAGATTTATTTTTATTTCCATGTCGATTTTCAGTACGTATTATGCAGGGCTGATTGTGCTCTGGAAAAAATCTGGATTTCCGGAATTTTCGCTAATAGTGATCCGGAAATTTCCGGAGATCGATGGTCCAGACGTTTAAAAAAATCATTGATCACAGAAGTTTCTGGAAATCAAATTTTCAGAGGTGGATCTTAAAAACACAGTTTATTTTATTTGTTTGTAAGGGAGAGCGGGAGAGATACTTTGTAAGCTTATATTCACGATTAATATTCATTTTTTATCAGTAAATAGTTGTTATAATCATAAACTCAAAAAAGAAAGACATATTTGTAAATTTTAATTACTTCTCCAGGTCATCCTAGGTATGTGTAAATGGTATTGGTATGTGTAAAATTTTTAATATATTTTAAGTAAACTAAGAAATATTGAGAAAAAGGAAAAAGCCTTGTTTAAATTTTTTTCTAATTTTTCAATTTAAACTGTTTTTTTTTCTTCTTTTTTTTTCTTTTTAACTCACGAAATTTTCCAGAATTTTGACTTGGGCTCACAATCACCCCTGATTATGCAAAATTGTGGTTTTCACATTGTTCTATTCTATATTAACAGTCTTGAAACTCCCTTTTCCTATTTAAATAGTAAATTAAATGTAGGTACTATGAATATTGATAAATTTTGTATTTATGATAAATTTAAAGTAAAGTTTTTAATTTTCCTAAATCTTTTAATTCTAAGTATAGATTTAAAAGAGATAGAGTGGTGCTAATAAATTTATTGATTTTGATGAATTTCAAAAATTTGTAATCTTTGTGTTAACCTGAATAATATTTTTATTATTAGGAAGTATATTTTTGCTTTTAAAATTCTTTTTTAAGTTCTAAAAAATTTCTTTTTTAAATTTGAGAATAAAACGAAAATTTGATACTGAACTTATTAAATTTTGTAATGGATTTGGTTAAGTCAAAACTTGGTGTTGATAAAGCTGAAATTCTTTTTAGGATTTTAATGATAAGGAGCTTTCTTTGTGTTATTAACTTTCATGATAAAAATGTTGAGAATGCTAGGATTTCATAGGTTTTTCTGATATTTTTTCTTTCTACTAATGATGGCAACAGTATTCTTGCTCTTTTTCTGTTCTTTCTTCTTCCTTCTACGCATTAAATTAGGGGAGTTGTTTTTTCGTTAATTTCTATTTAGTTGAGGATTTGTAGTGTGTTGTGTTCTTTGGTTTTGAGATTTATTAATTTTAAGTAAGTATTTGAACATTGATTTCTTTTTTATTTGTTTAAGTATTATACTTTTGTATTTGATTTTTGTAATTTGTATTATATTTCTCTCTAACCTGGACTTGTGGCAGAACTTTTGGGCTACAGAAGGAGCAACATTTGTTGTGCAAAAGGTTTTGCATTTGTGACTTCTGTTGTCATATTTTTCATTGTTTACTTCTTTATAAATTCTATTGGTTTCAATTTTCTTATGGAATTTCTGCTGCATAGCGCATTTCTCCACTGGGAATTGCTTTTTTAATAATTCGATCATCAAAATAATTCAAGGAAACTTAAGTGATAATAAACCTTATTCTGACTATTTTATGCAGTTAATACTCTCTTGCAATTAGACTCTTTAATTATTATTTGAATTTATTTATTTTTAAAATAAAGAAATCTTTAAAGTTTTTTTTTTAAGTTTTTTTTTAAGAATTCAACTTTTATTAGTCTGAAACGAAGAATAACAAAATTTCATCAAATAAGAATAAGATTGAGATATATTGTCTCAATGGTAAATGCGATTGCAGTGTGTGTAGCGTTTTTAAAAAGTGCTTAAAAGTACTTATTTTTGTTTCTTAAAAGCCCTTAAAGGTGCTTTTTTCATTGGGTGATTTTAAAAAGTGCCTAATTTTTCCTTTTTCAAGATGAGATGATGTTGATTTTAGCTTCGAATTATGCAAAAAGACACAGTTCACATTGTTCTATTCAATGTTCTCACAATTTATTCAACCCCAATCTATTTCGGCGTATTGTCTGTCCGTAACGTATGAAAACGCCATTCGTTTTACTTGATTCAAAATTTCATGATTTTTGACAATTGTCAAAAACAAAGCCAAAAGTTTTTTTTTTACATGACGGTTAAAGCAAGATAAAACCGTTAATTGTCAAAAACTTTCCAACCCTGCCTAATTATGATATTTTTTAAAGTGCTTAAAAATATTTTTTGAGTGCTTGAAAAGTGCTTAAAAGGTGCTTATTTGAAAAATGAAATAAAAAGAGGTTCTCAATTTTCAAAACATTATGTGTGGAAAAAACAAAGAAATTGACTTGCCTGATTATAGTTTTTTTTAAAGAAAATATCCATTACAAAACTCATGGTTTAGTATAAAGTGACCTAGTTTCAATTCTTCAAATTACGCTTTTGTCTTTTAGATCATAAATTAACAACATTAAGAACTTAACTAATATGTGTAACAACTATTTCTAATAATGTATAGTAAAAAATAAGATTTTAGATTATACTTTATTAAAACTATTTAAATCCCCCCCCCAAAAATAAAACTTTGTTGAAAAGTACTTTTTTAAATAATACTTTGTCCAATATTCAGTCGAATATTTAGCTAGTTATTTGGCAAAAATATCAATAGTGTGGCCGAATATTGGTCCGACTTCAAATGATGGTTATTGAAAACTTTTCCAATCAACCACAAAAAGATTTATTAAGATACTTAAACTTTTTCGGACATCTGTGCCCCGGCATTTTCGGCCATTTCAGTTGACCGTGAATAATAGTGTTTGTGGGGATCCTAGTTTTCATCCATCTTCTATGAAAAAGTACCCCTACGTAGAATCCAGTTGACATGTCTTATATACTAGTGAATTGGATTTTTGTAGTGATAGATACACTATAGTGTTATTACTCATTGTGAATGTTAGACGTGTATGAATGTTTTTGGCATGTGTTGTGTAATTTATGAAAATGATATAATCTTGAGTAATTTGTGAATATATTTCTATTTTTAGATTCAAGATCAAACTTTTGGGGAAGCCATTACAGAACCTGGTTTAGCATTTGTTGCAGCCAAGTTTGATGGAATTCTTGGTTTAGGTTTCAGTTCTATTGCCGTTGATGGAGTGGTTCCGGTTTTTGACAACATGGTTAAACAAAAGCTTGTAGATAGTCCAATATTCTCTTTTTATTTAAACAGGTATGTAATACATTAGAATTGATAATATTTTTATGAAAAAAAAAATTTTTTTTGTCCAATGCTGTGATATAGGATAATATAAATTATTTAATTTATTATTTATAGTATGTTTGAAAACTGACATTTTGATGGCTATGGTTTGTCAATGGTAAGAACCCCCCCCCCCACCACCACAATGTCTGAGGCCATCTGCTGCTATGGAAAGAAGAATAGTGCATTTCAGTTAGGGTAGCTTCTCTTCACTCTAGGGCAGTGTTTCCCTTACTTATGACTTTTGTGTACCCTTTCTAAATTTTTCGTAATGCTGTGTACCACTAATAAAAAAAATTGCACAAAAGTTAAAAATCGCAACTGACTGTTGACGCCACTCATTATTAACTGTTAACTCTGCAAAAAATAGCCAATGGAAAAATACGTAATCTTAAATTTTCATGTCTAGCTTTGTATTTAAATAAATTGTTTTGAAATTTTTGTTTGTTGCAAGATATTTCGCATAAGAGTGCTAACCCCCGCTAAACTGTTCCCGTACCTGTGGAGGTATGCATACCACACTTTGGGAAACACTGCTCTAGGACCGAAGAAAAAGATTTCCCTCACTGACCCAAGACTGTTCTAAACAATGAGCTCACACCCCTACTTAAAATAGTTATATCTAAGTTACCATGGATCCAGACGTAGGGTTTGGGGAGTTCTTACTTTAGACAAACTATAGCTTAATAATATTATATTTCTTTTTCATTTTAAAAAAGTAAACTCAAATTATCATAAGTGATTGGCTAAAATATTTATTTTTGATAATTTAATACTGTTTTTTGAATTTCTATAAACTATATTCAAATATCACAGACTATATCATGGTATCCCCGCACCTGGAAACTCATGAATTTCGGCATTGAACAAAAATTGTCATAAAATGTCATTTTAATTATTTTTTTTTTTAAATCAGGGAAAGTCATGAATTTAGGCTGCCGAAAAGTCTAATTTTTAAAATGGATTTTACTCCTTCCCCTCCAATTTCATGGTGTTTCGAATATCTGAATTTCTAACAAAATCACCATTCACAGTCATATTTGATTAAAATATAAAATGTTTTTATCATGTTTAAAAATTACAGTGTTCTTTCAAAAAATGAAAGAAAAAACATTTCTAAAGTGAATTATCTTTTAAATTTCAGAATTCAGAATTTTTGTTATTTTTATTATTTTTTATTTTATCAATTTAAAATTATCGCTGAAGCAAGCCAGTCATTGGCGAATTTTTTTTAATTCCAAAATGGGAAGAGAAAAATCTGTATTTCTTTCCTTTCCGATAAACAAGAAAAGTATCTGTAGAATATAATTCTGCGAAAAAATTATTTGCTTTTGTATTTTTTTCGGCTAGTTTATTGTTGCAACTCTTTCATTACTCTGTTTTTTTAAATTTAAAATCTATAAATATGAAGAGGCAGAGGATAATAGTTTTGGTTATACCTATCATTTCAATCAATGCTATTATAATGCTTTTTTAAATTTATTGTTGTGATTTTGTCGGAGAAAATAGTAACTTCGTTAAATCATGAAAAATTCTTAGAATTAGTTATGGAAAGTCATGAATTTGAAAATTTAAAATGTGGCAGTTTTTTCATTGTGTGTTTTTAAAAAGTGCTTAATTTTTTCTTTTTTGATTTTTTTTTCTTTCTTTACTATGTCGATTTTCGTGACGTATTGTTCAAAAGCGTTATTTTCACATTGTTCTCTTCAACGTTTTTACAATTCATTCAACCACAATCCATTTCGGCGTACTGTTGGTCCATAGCGTTAGAAAACGCCAATAATTTCACGTGTTCGATTAAATACTTCCGAGTCCGCACGTGCGTCTACTGAGCATCGATCTGTGAGATTCTAGCACTCTCATGTGCAACTCTGCTGCATTTTGCAAGATATTCTCAATTTTAGGCTTCATTTTCCACCCTCTGACATCGAACCTAAAAAATCTTTTGATAATTTTTTAATGGCTAATATAATCAAGAACATAGTTCTTTGTCAGAAACTAGTTATTTTATCATGAGCGTGTAAAGTCTTTGAAAATTATATTGCAATTTGTTAATGTATGTTGTGCTTTAAAATATTTTTTGAGTGTTTAAAAAGTGCTTATTTTTTGTTGAAATATTTGGCTACACACCCTGTATGAACTATATTAAAATATCACAGACTATATAAAACATCGTTTTATTTATTTCTGATAGTCATTGAGGGAAACTAAACTTTGTTTCCTTTTCATGCTTTTTAAGAGATCCAAAGGCTGAAGTTGGTGGTGAAATAATTTTTGGTGGTAGTGATCCTGATCATTACAAAGGCAATTTTACTTATGTACCTGTTGATAGATGTGGATACTGGCAGTTCCCCATGGATGGGTAAGTCCTCTCATTTACTTATTGTGCCCCCCCCCTTATTGGCCTATGCAGGGTATCTGCTCACCTGGAAAGTCATGGATTTCGGTATTGTTCAAAATTAGTCATGAAATGTCATGATTTCAACTATTTTTTAAAAAAAAATCATGAAAAGTCACGAATTTAGGTTGTTGAAAAATCTAGTTTTTGAAATGGAATTTGTGACAAAATCCCCACTCACAGTCATATTTTATTAAAATATAAAATGTTTTTATGTTCTTTAAATATTATGGTGTTCTTTCAAAGAATGAAAGAAAAAACATTTTTTATCTTTTGAACTTTTGTGATTTCAGTATTTTTGTTATTTATTTTTTTTATTTTATCAATTTAAAATTCAAGCTGAAGCAAGCCAGTCATTGCCGAATTTTTTTATTCCGAAATGAGAACAGAAAAATCAGGAGGATTTCTTTCCTTTCCGATGAACACAAAAAGCATCTTTACACTGCAATTCTGCAGAAAAAAAGAAGAAAAAATTATTTGCTTTTGTATTTTTTCCAGCTATTTTATTGCTTCAACTCTTTCTTTACTCTGTTTTTTTTTTTAAATTTAAAATCAATAAATATGAGGATGCTTTTTTAAATTTATTGTGTTTTTGTGGAGAAAATAGTAGCTCTGGTAAGTCATGAAAAATTCTTGGAATTAGTCATGGATTTGAAAATCTAAAATGTAATACATAGATACCCTCTGGTAAGGTACATTAGTACTCTGTCGCATAATTGCAGCGAAATTGTCATCATTACAGAGAGTTTTCATTTGGGGAAGGAAAAAGTTTTGGTTTTCTTTTCTGCATAATTTTTAAAAAAATTATTTTTTGACAATAGATATCTATATGTAGAAAATAGATTTAAGATAACTCTTTTTTAAAGAGTCCTGTTCGCGTGATTTCGTCGTCGATCTTTATTTCGAGAGTTTACTGCACAGATTTTAAAACTTTTAATTTATGTTTACGAATTTTAATTTGTGTGATGATTTACAAAATTCGAAGGAGGAAATAATGAGTGCCTTTTTCCGCCTACAAAATGCTGGAATATCGTCTATAATATTAGAATTAAGAAAATATTACTTTTAAAATTAAAATTTTTTATACATTTTTATGCTTTCTTCTTTAAACACAACGTTTCTGTTACTTTATATTAGTAATTTTTATAATTAAAGGTATCTTAAAGCAAAATATTAGTGTTAGGGAAGTTTGTCGCAGAAAACCAGAAAAAACTCTGCAACAGGGCCTGTAATGTGCCCACTTAGAATATTATGGGTCAATATTAAGAAGAGATATAGGGCCATGCAATATATTAAGCTTGAATTTCCTCATTATAACACTGTTCTTCTACACACTATAACCTATAAAATTACCTATAACCTGTAAGAAAAAATTTGCCAATATGATACATTTCAAGGGTTTTATTATACAGTTCTATTATAAAAGATACCAAGTTTCTCTTTTTTTGCACTCTTTTTTTTTTCGAAGCATCATTGAAATTTTTAAAAATGCAATTTTATATTTTAAATTTATAATTTCAAAGCACCATTGTAATCTGGGAACAATAACTGCAAGAGCTAAATCTTGTTCCATTTTTTTTCTTCAGCTTTTAATATCACCTTTTAATCAGCTTTTTTAGCATGCAATTTTATAAAGTTTTATCAAATATGCAATAAAATATTTGAGGTAAAATTTGCCTTTGTTATTCTTAAGTGGAGCAACTTATGTATTTTTTTTTACATGACATTGTAAAAAAATTTGTTTTTTTTTTACATTGTTACATTTTTCTCAGCTTTTAATATGTAGGTAGCATGCAATTTTATAAAATTTGATCAAATATGCAATAAAATATTTGAGATAAAATTTACCTTTATTATTCTGAAGTGGAGCAATTTATGTGTTTTTTTTTTTTTTGTTTTTTTTAAAGTTGTCGTTTATATGCATTTTGTTCCAAACAATTGACTGATTTTTACTGAAAATGTCCTGATTTTTCAAAAAAAATTTTTTACTCAATACAAGACCTGCCACAGAAAGAAAAAGAAAGAAATGTATTAAAAACTGCAAGTAACCCAAAAAATTTTGAATTGTGAGACCTTCTAATTAGATTTGAATTGTTGCGATACAAAAATTACTCAATGTAACACAACTTTCAGGAATGAAAGACTTTCAGTTTTTGAAACTTCCGACGATGCTCTAAAAACGTAGTTCTCTAAATGTAACTGCTAGTTCTTATTTTTGGCCTTTTCTGCATTTGTCCGTGCCCTCAGTTGTTTCTCGCTTACTCATGTCCTTTTTCATGAGGTACATTGTAAGACGAATGTATTTTAACAATCAAAGTCTATTCGATAGGCAAACACAAAGTGCATACTATCGATGTATGTACCATGTTGAAAAGAATAATTTCAAGTTTGATTGGTTAAATAAAACAGTTAAAGTGACTGCAACTGATGGTAACTATCTACCAGAAGATATTGATGTGAAAATTAGTGACTGTTTTAATTTAAAATGATTGACTGGCAATTAATTTAAAATGATGTTTAAACCTTACATATTGCTTCATTTTCTTTAATATAGTAGTGATCAAAGAAGTTTAAAATAATATTTAAGAAAAATTTAAATTTCACTGTCTAAATGCTTCTGCCACTTTTTATATAAAATAAAAATCTCACTGCAGAGTTAGAAGTTATGTTTTTATATATCTAATTGATATCACAGTATTTACACTCCCTACCCCCACCTCCCTATTTCTGTAAAAGTTCAGCTTTTTCGATATTTGTCCACTTTCATGCCTGAACTTCTGAAAAGCTTTTTTATTTTATAAATTTTGAATCATGTGATGGAAATTTTTTGTTTTTAATATGAGGAGGTAGACATAATAATATTTTTTTACTCATAGTTTGTCGATCAATGGAAAAACGGGTGTTTATTGTGCTGGTGGATGTGAAGCTATTGCAGATACAGGCACCTCACTCATTGCGGGACCTGTTGCAGAAGTTGAGAAATTAAATAAAGAATTAGGTGCCACCCCTTTAGTTCAAGGAGAGGTACTTTACATTTTTCTATTTTCATGTTCACTAAATGATTAGTTTAAGATGATCATACTTTTTGTCACATCATTAAAAACAATTTTCTGCCAGACATTATATTCAATACTCGTGATTGACAAATGATTCAATCTTTCTTAAATCAATAAGAAAAAAAACATAAGGGGAGAATGCCTTGAAACTTTTAATTTTTCAAGCGATGTTCAAGTACTTTGTTGAAACACTTCTTTCACATTTGAAATCAAAATTTAAAAGCTAATTATACTACTGAATTTCAAGTTATGTTTTTCAGTTAAAAAGGAGAGAAGGTAGATGATTTTGAAAATTTCATGAGAGTGTTAAGAAAAGAATTTAAGAAATCCCCTAACTCCTTAAAATAACATTTAAAAAAATTTCTGAACTAAAATAAAAGAAATAATACTAAATGAGATCATTATTGCTGAACTAAGTTGCTTTAAAGTTTATAGATAATTCCTCCAAATTTCTTTCTCTTATTTTTAAACTTCTGATATTCCTTTAATTTACAATCAAAAATCTCTTTTAATAATCTACTAAAAACATAGAAATATTAGATAAACAATCAATTAAAATTTAAAAAGTGATTTTTATGACCATAATTAGAATGAAAGTTGAAGATTAAATTTTTATAAAGGATAGGTTGGGATTTTTATTATTTACAAAAACTACTTTATAATTTTCTTATACTAACTACTATTTCATTCCCCTGTTATACCATGTATTTACATGGAAGTATTTGTTTAAAATTTTTTAGTGTTGCAGTCTAATGATTCCTTCATTATTATAATTTAAACTTACAATAAGGAAAATTTCCTTTGACAATTCAACAACAGTTATGATATATTTTCTAAGTAAAAAATGTCATCATAAAATAAAATTGTTTTTTTTATTTTATATANTGAATTTTTTTAAATTTTGTAAATGAATTTAGGTAATATGTATAAAATTATTGTTAATATTTTTTTATTCATTAAAATAGAAAAAGTTTTAGATTGTTACTTATTTGTAATAATTATTTTAACTGTACCAATAATAATTTTTTTTTTGTTTTTATTTAAAAAAAAAATATAAATTAACAACATTTGTTTTTTAAACTTTTGTTTATATTAGGTTTGTAAAGAAATGCCTCACAAAAAACCAGTAAGGTACATACATTCGAGAAAAACTAATATTATTTGAAACACATAATTCAAATTTTCTGTCCAATAATAATTTTAATTTTTCAGAAATAAAAAGAAACTGACATACAAAAATCCCCTTTCCCAGAATTGTATGGCAGTTGCAGTAAATGATAAAAACAAACCGACCCTTTGAAAAACATGTTTCGGGTTATATTTAGAAGTTCCTTTCTACAAGAACGTATTATTCCATCATCTGCAACATGTCTTTACTGATTAGACGTACGGCTGAACCAATTATTTCTTTTAATATTTCATCTCAATATTTCTCCCTCGCTAACACTTTTTTTAAAACAAATAATCAGTTAGGGTAACGAATTAGTTATGATGGAGAAAAAAAACTTAATGTAATGAAATTTCAGACTTTTGGGGGGGGGGGTCTGGGTCAGTGTCCCATTGGGCCCATCCTGTTAAACGGCTCTGTGAGTTTCTATTGTGCACTGATGATTTTATCCAGAGATATTTTTTAACTCCTCTACAAGTGTATTTTTCATATTGTAAATCGATAATGCGTTTAAGTGAAGTAATTTCTCTCCTGAAATTGACAAGAATTATTTTCTCATTTCAAAACACCAACCGTTAAATAGAATAGAAACTAATTTTAAAAAAAACATTTTTTGCAGCATTTAAAATATAATAGAAACTATTATAAGTGCTGCAAAAAATCTTATGTTATCCTGATTTTTCATTCCAGAAAACTTTTAATTCATTACTTAGTGATCTGATTTAAAAAAATTTAAATAAAAAATTCGATTATCTCTTGATTTATTCTAGATTATGAGTGTAGGGACGACGGAGATCAAGATAAGAATTGATAGATTTATAAAGAATTAGAATGCAGAAAGACATATCTTTCCATTTGTTTTTGTGGTATTACATTTCAGTAATAACGGAAAAATTGCGTGCACTCGTCCTAATTCTTATAATTAGATAAAATTAAATAACAATTTGATAAAATTAATTAACCTGCATGTACTATGATAGTCCACAGTTCCTGCTGTTGTGCCGCACAGTTTTTGCAACCAACTCCGTGGCAGAATTACGGTGACATTGTTGCAGAACGTTACATAGTTTTCGCAGAAAGATTTTTCATTTTGAAAGGAGAAATTTTGGTTTTTCCTTCTGCAGAATTTTTGAAAAACTTTTTTTTTTTCTGCAAAATTTTTTTCAAAATTTTTTTTTTTTTTTCATACCAGAGAGAAAAAAAAATCGTGATTCCTCTATTTTTATTTGGGATTTTAAAAAAAGTCTATTATACTGGCTTCAGCTAGAATTTAAAATTAATAATAAAAAATGAGAAATTCGGAAATCGTGAAAGTTTAAAAGGTAGCTTGCACTGGGAATGATGTTTTTTCCTTCATTTTTTTCTTTAAAGAACTTTATGTATTACACACACTTATTTGAATATTTCTTTTTTAAAGAGTCTTATTCCTGTGATTTTGTCGTTGATCTTTATTTTAACAATGACAATATGGATTTTACTTTTTTTAATTTATGTACACATTTCAATTTATTATCGTTTAATTTGTTAATGAATTTTAATATTTGTAATGATTTACAAAATTTGAAAGAGGAAATAATGAGTGCCTTTTTTTGCCTACAGAATGCGAGGAAGTGCCTTTACTATTAGAATTAAAAAAATATTACTTATACAATTAAAATTTTTTATAAAATTTTATTCTATACTTTCTTCTGTAAACGCAACATTTCTGCTGCTTTAAATTAATAATTGTTATAATTAAAAGTATCTTAAAGCTATGGAAGTTTGTCTCCAAAAAGCCCGAAAAAAATTCTGCCAGGGGGCTACCAATATTGTTTGGTATGCTATTGTTGCATCTGAAATCACAAACATAATATTTAAATATGCTCTTAAATTTTTGAAGATAAGTACTTTTGCTGATCCTTCTTAAAACATTATAGCTAGCACACATGATTAGCACATATCCTTGTTCATGGCATGCTAATATTTGAGCCTAGTATTATGTATGCTTATCCATGGTTACTGATTTTGAATCATACTTTTATTGTGTTGATTATTTATTAATTAAAGCACGACTTTCATATATTTATTTTTTTCTTTAGTACATGATTGACTGTGATCTAATTCCAAAGTTGCCGAAAATCTCTCTTACTTTTGGCGGAAGAAATTTTGATTTACAAGGATCTGATTATGTACTCAAGGTATTTTTCCCAAATTGAAGTTAATCTTTTAATCCTTCTAATTTGTCAAAAAATATAATATTGTATTATAACATATTTTAAGAACTTTTTCAACGTGCTAGGATTCATTGATTTAAGTAAATAGATAGATTTAAATAGATAGATTTAAATAAATAGATTTTTTTTTAAAAAAATCATTGATTTAAATCAAATTAGCATTTTGTTTTTATAAAATCATCAATTTCAAAATGTACTGAGAACTTTAAAATAAGGTTAAGTTTTTCTTGATTTTCATTGTTTTAAAACTTATTGTAGATAGATATATTGCTGTGTTAATAAATTTCAACTTGCAAAATAGCATCAGTACTTGATGTATAATAAATTGTAGCACTTTTAAATTGTTTTAAAAATTTTTATAGCTTAAGATTTTTAATGAAGTAAAATGAGAAAATTTAATGTAATGTAGTTTTTTTTATATTTATATATCATTAAAAATTAATAATTGAAACTGAATTGTTTTGCTGAAAAATTTTTGTTTTAATAATTTTTAAAATTCCTAGTTTTAATGCACCATCTCCAAAACCACATTTCCTTTAAATATTTAAAGGAAATTATCCTATTATGTCATAAAAAGACTGTAAAAGGATACATTCAGAAAGCCTTTTTATCTTATCACATTAAAATTTTAATAATTAAATAAAACAATAATTAAAATAATTAAATAAAACAATAATTAAAATAATTAAATAAAACAATTTATTTTGCTATTTCAAAAGTTTTATTTGTTTTTAATGATCTGTGAAATTAATATTTTAACTTTTTTATTTTAGCCTGTTTTTCAGTAGTTAATAAGGATACATTTATTTTTTTATTCTCAATAAATTTGAATCATGCATTACTGAGATACAATTTTAATGTGGTTATATTGAAAAATATATTATGATTTATTTTTAATATTGTTTTAATCATATATGAAATTTAATTATAAGCTAAATTTCTTATTTTTCTGAAAATCAGAAAGAAAATCTTTTAAATTAAAAAAAAGTTATTTGAATTGAAAAAAAAAATTTTTAATTTTTTTTATAAAAAGGCAGAAAATTATAAATTTTGATAATTGTTTTGAAAACGCTTTTAAAATATCCATAAACTTAAAATTTAAGTTTGGTAAATCATTATCTGAATATAAAAATAATTAGTTATTTTTTCAGAAAAATTATCTGAATAAATAATTATCTGAATATATGAAGTTATCTGAATATGTAATTATCTGAAATTATCTGAATATAAAAGTATTTAACTAAATTTCTTATTTTTTTAAAAATCAGAAGAAAAATTGTTTTAAATTTAAAAAAAAAAACGATTTAAATTTAAAAAAATATTTTGATTTTTTTTTATAAGAAGGGGGGAAATCATAAATTCTGGTAATTGTTTTGAAAAAGCTTTTAAAATATCCGTAAACTTAAAATTTAAATTTGGTAAAATTATTGTCTGAATCTAGAAATAATTTGAAATTGTATTGCTTTCAATATTCCACGAAAATGAGATTGTATTACTGAGTGAAATACGACTTAATTTTAAAACCCAACAATGGGGTATCACATTAATATTTTTTAAAAAAAAAAAATTTTTAAAACATTTTTTTAAATAAAAATTATGGTGTACTATAAAACTGTAATAAAGGTTATGAAATCAAATTAGAATTTCTTTTTCTTTGCTTTCTGTAACTATAATAAAATTCAGAGCTCTGCGCGATCCGGAAATTGAAGGTCCAGAAGTTTCGAGAAATCTGCAATAACATTTACGTATAAAATTTTTTGTATATTTTACTTAAAATTATTAAAACTAGAATTTATATTTGGCACCTCTTAGCATGTGATTAGAAATAAAAGTAAACGTATACATAATTATTCATTTAAATTATGCTGTATATAATTTATTTAGAATTTCATGTCTTGAAAATATCAATTATTTAAATTTATGAAGACATTAATTTTTTGAAATGTGTCATTCATGATTTTACTCAAGAAATGTTCAAGATTTTTGAGTTGAGCTCACAATCACCCCTGAAGATTAAATAGTAACTTAAAAATGGATTTTTTTTTTCAACCTCTGGCATCAAGATTTTATTTAATTATTTTAATTAAATTCTGAAATTTTATTGGATCCTATTTTTATTCCCTGTTTGTTCACATAGTTGTAATAACAGAATTCTTGTTTTTTGAACATACTGAGAGAGTCTTCATTATTTTTTCTTGTTAGGTGTCTCAACTAGGGAAAACAGTGTGTTTGAGTGGATTTATTGGCTTGGATGTTCCAAAACCGATGGGCCCCCTGTGGATTCTTGGAGATGTTTTTATTGGGCGTTATTACACAGAGTTTGACCAAGGAAACAGTAGAGTTGGTTTTGCTGACACTGTTTAGTAATAGCAATTATCTGTATTAGCATTTATTTTGTCTTTATGTATCTCTCATATATTCTGAGATTACTTAATAAATATGTTAAACATTTTATTTTGCCTGTGAGATCACTCATCTAACTTAACTGATTGTAGAGTGAGAAAAATGTTTTACAGTCCTTATTTTTTATGTGATTAAAAGATAATACAATGAAACCTTAGCAGCGATCTGCACTCTTCACTTACGACCTTCAGAAGCGACCTACTCTCTGTTCCTCAGTAAAATAGTCTTTGATGGACCTTGGTTGTTCTTAGAGGTTATCTCCATTGACTTCAAAATTGTTATCGAAGGCACGTCATTTTAGTTGGTGTCATTTCCTTGGTACGGAAATACCAATTCTGTACATATTTGCTGAAGTGCATGCTCATTTTTGCACAATAGTAAGGTAAAGTCATTTTTGTGTTAAATGTAATCCACCTCTTCTTCCTTTCTTAGAAGAATCTCTGTCTAATGTTTAACTTCTGGCACTTGATTTACACCAACTTGCAATTCATATCTGGAAATTAAATTCTTTTTATTAATTCAAATTCACTTTATTTTTAAATAATTTTCCCTTTTTTTTTTATTGTTGCTTAATACGAAAGTTGTAAGATTTAGAGCTTCACAGCATACCACAATGGCAACTCTAATTTTTTTCTTTTTGATTTTTTGTAAAAAATGAAGACTGGAAGTGTTCTAAATTTCCAATCGGAAATCAAACTGGTTTTATGTGAATAATTTTTTCACCAGTTAATCAACGCACTTCAAATAGCATTTCTTTTTTTTTTCCTGCTTAACTATTAATTTGTGACAATGTGCATAATTTTCTTCTTCATTTTAGGCAAGGATTATTGCAATAAGCGCGCGTTATCAATTGAACTATACTTGGTGCATAGCGTTTTTAAAAAGTGCTTAATTTTTCCTTTTCGAAAAGGGAATGTCTATTTTCGCCATGTATTATGTGAAAGCATGCTTTTCACATTCTTCTATAGAACGTTTTCACAATTCATTCAACAGCAATCTATTTCCGCATACCGTCGGTTAACGTATGACGTATTATCACTTTGCGTGTTTGACGAAGAACTTGTGAGTTCGCATGCGCGTCAACTGGAATTGGATCTGTGAGATTATTGCACTCTCGTGTGCAACTCTGCTGCATTTTGCAAGATATTCTCCATTTCAGGTTTCGTTTTCCACCCTTTGATATCGAACCGAAAAATCTCTCGAGCATTTTATAATGGCTAACATAATCAAGAAAAGAGTTCTCTGTCAGAAACTAGTTATTTTATCATGATCATGTAAAGTCTTTGAAAATTATTTTGCGTTTTTTAATGTATATAATGCTTTAAAATATTTTTTGAGTGTTTAAAAAGTATTTAAAAGGTTTTTGTTGAGAGATTTGGCCTACGCATCCTGCTATAATAAAAGTTAAAACATGCTATACTTACTGTTCTCCTTCCTGAAGTGTGTCCGGAATACTTTTTCCTTTTGTTTCGGGCAAGAGAAAAACCAAAAGACCCCCACTAATGGCTAAAAGACCATGGACCACGTCCGGTACCCAAGGATACGTCGCCCTACCCTGGAAAGGAACAATTGTCCAATGAACACTATTTCTTTCTCAAACATCAGAATTCAAAGAAATTCCATTCTGTATGCAAAACTCTTTTCAATCGCTCTTTGTAACAGTATTGTCCCGCGTTAATTCGGGTACGTCTATATTGCAAATACTAATTATCCCGAGAAAACTCGAGCGTTGCGGAATGTGTCTGTATGTTTTGTTTTATCACGTTTTGACTCGGCCGGAAGCGGAAAAAAAAAAATTTAATGCTCAAAATAATCTGTTGTAATTGGAAGTTTAATGAATTTCGTTGTTGGATTGTGGGACTGCACACGTGTTTTGTGCGATTGTATATACGATGGTTGCTGAATTCATGTTTAGAAAAAGAAAGTTTAAAAAAATGGCGTATCACTTCACTGGTGTTTGGAAAGTATCACTTTGTGTTGTTTTAAGATCTATCATACAAAGACTCATATTTAACGTTTTTCATTTGCCCGAGATAATTTGGGATAGTAAACTGATGGTAAATTAGATGTTTCTTACACATAAAAAATTAAAATGTCAACTTAAAACTTGTGTATTATGTTTTGCTTTTAGTTCCTTGTATTTATCAATGAAATAAAAATACGTATTTGCTTTTTTCTTCTTTTTTTTAAAAAAAAAAATTGGCAAAGGACGCGGTTAATATTAATTTAAAAAAGAAATGTATTTTAGTATAATTATAGAAAGATTGAAGTAATAGCAAAGCTTAGCACAGCGACAAACTTGTGGGACTTTTTAGGACTAAGTTACTGTAGAAACTAAAATCCACTGCGCTAGGCATTGGGCATTATTTTATAACAGCCGTTGAACAGTTGTCCCAATTTTGGGTAATCGACTACCAATGTTCAACTCCGTAGCCTCGTCATTTTGAATCTAATCCAGAAGACAAAGGAACTCCTAAATGAACTCATCATCATCATATCTGGCTAGACAGCCCTTCCTTTGAATTCGAATCCACTTCTCTCTACTTTTGACACTTGTTCGCCAGTTTTTCTCCTTTAGAGTAAGGAAATCAGTCTCAACTAAATCCAGCCATCTCAGCCTGGGTCTACCTCTTTTCCTGTTCGTTAGGGGTTTGTGTAATAGGATTTTCTTTAAATTTGAGTCATCATTCCTTCTGAAAATGTGAGCCGCCCAGTTCATTCGATTTATTTTTATGAATTTCACAATATCTGGCTCCCTGTAGATTTTATACAGTTCAGTATTATATTGTCTTCTCCAGGAATTATTTATTTTTTATCCCACCAAGGATGGCCCTCAAAACTTTTCTCTCAAAAATGGCAATTTTATTTTCACCAGCTTGAGTTAGGTTCCAGGTCTCAGAGCCATAGGTAAGTATTGGCCTAATTAATGCTTTATAGAGTAAAAGTTTTGTATTTTTTGATAAAAGAGAGGATTTGAAAAAACGTTTTAGACCATGAAAAGCTTTATTTGAACAAATTAGACGACTCCGAATCTCATTGTCTATGTTATTGTCGGCAGTAACTATTGAACCAAGGTAAGAAAAATTCTGAACAGTCTGAAGCCTGTGGGAACCAATCTCCAGATAGGATTCACTAGAATTTAATTTAGCAAGTACAGGCATGTATTTGGTCTTATCGCTATTAATGATTAGTCCCATATCCCTAGCAGCAAGCTCCAAAGAAAGGAAAGCTTTTTTTAATGCAGGAACAGTTCTTGCAATGATGTCTAAATCATCCGCATACGCCAATATCCTAGATGAAGTATTGGGAGAAATTTGTCTTTGTGGAAGACTTTTTGATGGAACCAACTTGCATTTGTGTTACATGGAGAGGAAAACCTCCCACAGTTAGCCTGGCGGCAAGGGATTCGAACCCGGTTCACCAAATTGGAATGTGAAAGCTCTATCCCCATCACGGCTGTAGCATTATGTATTGAAAAATTTTTGTAGCATTATTAAGGATTTAAAATGTCCTGCCCCCCCCCCCTTATAATTAGGTTAATCGTGAAAGATTCTGACCCGTCGCTGCTAAAGATTTTCCCTTCAGGAGGGGAGGAGATTTAGGTTCGCATCGGCAGCTGCTGACCGAGTGGTGCGGCGTTGCAACATTGTTAAATAATATTTTTTGGAGAAAAAAAATTTATTTTATACGTTAAATCTGTAAGTAATTTAAAGTATGTTTTTTTTTAAAAAAAAAAAAGACTAAGTCATTTAATAGCATCCGTAATTTGGTTCGGTTTAAAATTAAACAGAGGTATTTTGCTGGTGTAGTTTCCATTATAGATGTTTTTGATCGAATGAATGATAAACGTTGATTGTAAGGGCGTTTTTCCCTCTGTATGTCACCAAATTTTTAAAAATAAACTTACGAGAACGCAAACTATAATAATAAACACCTTGCTCAATATTGGATGTAAATAAGTTATCATGTAAGGCAAATGAAGCTGAAGATAATGAAAAGAGAAAAAAAAAATTTTACTGTATACCATGTAGACTAAATTTTCCGGAGTTAAAGCATATAATTTTTTAAAAAAAATAAAATAAATGTTACTTTAAGGGTTATCAATTACCAGTTCTTTAACGAAGGGAGCCATTATGGATCCTATTCTAGCCATCATGGAACTTGAACCTATGGCCACATTTCTAACCACCGTCGGAAAGATTTCGGTGGTGTAAAGGTAAAGAAGGCCAAAGGAAGAAGTGACACAAAATTTACCAGCCATTGCCAGGCTTGTTCTTACCCAAGGCATGCCTAAAAAAAGGATTCAGTATAAGATTTATTGACAAGATTGTGTTAGAAGATATTCTACCTTATTTATATGCTATCCAAACCCTGTAGGGAACACTCTAGCACATCCTATTATATTGACATGCTATTAAGGAACTATAATTGATTGTAATTCAGTTATTTTAGGAATATTTATGACTGTTTATTTCCTGACAAAAGGATAGCGTTTTTAATAGATATGTTACATTGTTTAAAATTTTTAAAAAAGAAAAAAGTAAAAAGCTCTTTTTACTAACAAAAAAATTAGCTGAGTATCTATATCCTTTTATATTTAAAGATCTCTAGTTAATACATGGATTATGTCGCAGACCTTTTATTGGGTCGGATGCTACTAACCATAAACTCAACTGATTCGATACATCATTTACAGTCAGGGATTCCACTTTTTTGCAATCTAAGTATGGATTGTTCTGGAATCCATCTTTAATATTATTCAAATGAAACTGAAAATTGCTCTTCAGTGTAGATAAGCACATTCATTAATAGAATCGAAAAACACTTACTTGGGATTTCTATAGCCATTAAAATACAGGCGATGCCTCCCCCTATCATAAATCCAACAAATGTAGGACGTCGTCCTAGTTTCTTCACTCCCCAGAATAAGAGAGCGTAGGAAGGAAACTCTAGGACACCCGCTAATGTGAAATTAATGTATGGATCACCAGCTAAATCATTTGTGTTGTAAGACATGGCATAGTACATAAATGAGTTCACCATCCTGAAATGTAGAGAATAAAAAATTTTTTTAATAGCTTTGTAATATTTTCAAAATCTTAATCCAATATACATAGCTGCCAACTCAACTGGATTTTTCTGGTCTACTGGTTTAATATAAATTCTCCTGGTTTTTGTACATTTTAGAAAATTCCATAAAACTGAGTGAGATTCCTGAAAAATCCCTATTGAAATAGAATTTTTGCACAAATTATTATTTGCTTGGATATTAAAATAAGTATTATATACGTATTATAAAGCTGGCCTCAGTTATAAAAATTAGTTTGAAATTGTTTTTGTGCTAAAATTTTTAGTTTATTCAGAGCTCCCTTTTTAAATTAATTAAAAAATATTTTAACTATCTTTGATGAATTAAATGCCTCTTGCTATTCAAAATTATCATCATGAAATTTCGTAAAATCTACTGGATTTTTTCCCCATCCATGTTGGCAGCTATGATGCTGTGAATGACCAAAATATTTGTTATATCCGATTTTATATTAATTTATTGGTTGATATATTTATTCGATATATCTGCTGAGGATGTTTTATTACATTTGGTAATGGATACTAATTGAAATTAAAAATATACTAAAAGCTGAATGGATAAAGAAAATGTATTTATTTGTTACGACAGATATTATTGACAGAAATGACATTTTGGCATCTTGATAATTGGTATGGTTTTACTCTTATGTAGGTACGGTACAGTGTGCAAAATTAAAAAGATATCACCCTGAATAACTTTCGTTCTAATGGTCGAATTTTCACGTACTAAGTGTCAATCTTAATAGTTCAAGGGGAAGCGAGGGTCAACTTCTTAATTTATACTATTTTGGAATAAATGAGTTTTATAATTGTATCAAAAATTTTTTAATTTGCTGATGTCGAAAAATCCAAATATGCGCGTTGAGCCGCGATGGCTCAGGGGATAGAGCGTTCGCCTTCCAATGAGGTGAACCGGGTTCAAATCGCACCAATGGCTGGTCGATACGAATTCCGCATCCGGCTTGCACCGACCACAGTGCTGACGTGAAATATCCTCAGTGGTAGACGGTTCATGGGTTAGAGTTCCCTTGCCGTCAGGCTAACCGTGGGAGGTTCTCGTGGTCTTCCTCTCCTCGTAACGCAAATGCGGTTTAGTTCCATCACAAAGTCCTCTATGAAAGCAAAATTTTCCCAATATTTAATCCATGAGTTCCCTTGTCTTCTGGATTGGTCCAAAATGACTAGGATACGGATTTGATTACAGTGATCGTAAACCCAAACAATTGAGCCGGCTGTTCAACGACGGTTATTAAATAAAAGAAAAAAGAAATTGCGCGTTAAATCTGCCGCGTCTCAATGTCCTCCATGTTCCCATAACAAATCGATACCTCTGGGGGTACTGGTCCGGAAGTTCCCTTGTCTTCTGGGTTGACTCAAAATGACTAGGCTGCGGAGTTGATTATAGTGGTCGTCAACCCAAAATTGGGTCGGCTGTTCATCGACGGATATATATAAAATGAAATAAAAAATTATATTTTTGTATCTGATTTCATAATTGTCGTTTGCACTAACTCATCAACCACCTATTCAACTCGGAATCACTGAGATTCATATTAGCACGTCCGACCATCAAAGTGAGAGCACAAGTCTATTATATTTTTCACATTATATGCTAAAAAGTGAAAGAAAATTATCACTTGTGAACCACTCTCAATAATAATTACAATCCTTCACATCAAATGAAGAGAAGAAAATAACGCTCTCGAAATTCTGAAATCTATTTCATTGTAGGAGACCCTTGTAGCTTGAACCTGAAATTAAACGCCTTCCTTAATTGTGATGCTTCAAACTTCACTAACGATTTTATTTTTTTAGTTCTCTGCAATAATGATTCGCAATTTTCCCAATATGTATACTTTTTTCTCTTCGTTCAAATTTTTTTTTAAAAAAATATAATGTATATGAAGGTCGTTCCTTAGAGAACAACGTTTTGCTCACCATAAATAGAACATGCATAAGATTCTACTTCTAAGCCTGGGTGTTTTGAATAAATCCAAAAGAGATTTCTGCTTCTCCTAAAATGTAGAATTAGTTTAAATATACATAAAAAAAATTCTAAAGACAAACTTTAAACAGTCAAATGAATTTATTAGTATAAAACTAATATTTCTGTTCATTTTAACCGAAACTCTCATTTATTCCTTGTGGTATTTTTCCATATACTTGTGGTGTTTTTAGGAATGCTGGTGCACACTTCAATACAGAAAATAAAAATTTTAACCCCTCGTTTTTATAAAGTAGTGTGAGAGTAACGATCCATAAAGTCATCTTTTTCCTCACTATATATATATATCATAATAAATAAATACAAAAAGGACTTCATATTTATTTTCTTTTTTTTTTCGTGATATTTTTACTTAATATTTCTATTTTATTTGTTGTAAATTATTTGGAGTGCTCCACACACTATTGTATTGATATATTTTGCTTTGGCTATATTGATACAATATTAGAAAGCTCTCCTTTTTGCGGATATAATCGTGCGAGCTGATGATGAAATTATATCTTTTATTTTCCGGATTTTTATTTTTCACTTTTTTTCGGTTTTTAACTTTTCATTCTTTTTTATTTTCTCCCCTTTTTACATAGTTCTGTGGGGCCGGGATAGCCTGGTTGGTAGGGCACTGGGCCTATGTCCAAGTGGTCGTGGGTTCGATCCCTGCCGGCCGAAGACTCCCCGTGTAGTAAATGGTGACTGATGCACGTTAAATCAGTCGAGTCTCAAAGTCCTCCATGCTCCCGTAATAAATCAATACCTCTAGGGGTACTGAATTGGAGATGGATCGTTCTCTGATTCAGGTCAAAATTACGATCTGTGGATGCATGAATGGGTCCACCCTATGAACGGGTGTGACGTATGGATGTGGCAGAAGTCGAATTCTTGGCCATACATGGCGCCACTGGAAAACAAGAACAATCGCCCCCCCCCCTCTGCCTTAATGGCATACGTCAACAACAAAATAATTCTGTAATTTTTTCCATGTTTTCTCTACATTTCGAACTTATATATATATATAAAATAATGTAACATAGTTTTACCTTCCAAAGTTAGAAGATAGAGATGAAGTTAAAATCGGAGAGTGCTNGAGTTTTTTTAAAATAACGTGCCTTTTGTTGACCCATATTGTTACGAATTTGTAAATGTGTGTATAATTTTGCGAATATTTTTTTATTTTTATGAGGGTTAATATTTCAGTTTAGACAGTTCCATTAGAAAATTGTTTCATTTTAACATAATTTAGATGGAATGTACAGCTTGATGTATTTCGTATGGTAGATTCGGTGTAGCGACATTTTTGCCAACTTAGCGATCATCTTGGCAATACTTGGCGACCCTTTCGGCGATAAAATGATAACTCTGGAAAATTCGAGTTTCAAAGTGATAGGGCCATGATACGCGAGAATCGTGTCGAAAGTTAGAGCGTCTGCTTGTGACAGCATTCGTGTTCTGATTTAGAAGAGTCTTTAATGAGTTTATTGAATTGTGGCGTTGCGGTCTGAAATGCAAAGTCCGAACTACGAATCTCTGACGTTGGACTATGTAGCTTGCAGCCGGTAATTGACGTAAACCTCATACCTGAATGGAGATATGGCGAAATCAGTAAAACAGTATGTTTTGGATATAACTTGTCCGCATCCTCACAGCTTGCTCCCCGTCGGTTCTAGCTAGCAATCCGGCTTGTTCTCGCCGGTTACCTTTTCGCAGTTTTTTTCTATGCTGCCTCAATGTTAAAGTGGTTAAGTTTTATATATGTTGAAATGTTTTAGTTAAATTTACAAGTTTCCTAAATGTTAATAAAGATAGTTATTTATTTAAACTTAGTGTTATTCATGAAGAGACCTATAATCTGTTCTCAGGAACATTTTCATGTGGGAGACATTCCTAGAGTTAGATTTCTTTTTAGAGTTTAAGTGGGGACTCTAACAAAGATACCAAACAACCCCACAAGTGGTGACCCGGTCTGAATCAGAGAATATGTGGAATTATGGATTACTATTTTTTTTGAACGTGGCTGACCTACCTGGTACGCAGTGAGTAGTTACTTCCTGGTTAATGTTTCTCTTTTTCAGAGCTGTGCATTGTGCCATTTTTATAGGTTTTAATGTTTCTATACACTAGGGCAATTTAAATTTTAACGTATTGAATTTAATTAAATTCTCATGGGCTTGTAAACAATTGAGTTAAGCCATACAATTTGATTTTGAATTCATAAAGTACAATGTAAAATTGAATTAATGCTTTCGTAAACTATTCATACTTTTTCTTGAATAATGTACTAGTTTTTAATACTCTAACAAAGATACCAAGCAACCCCACAGAATTTTCTGTAGTTTCAAAGTCTGTGTGTACTACACAGTTATTTGAGCTGTACTATAAAATAGCTGTATTTTCCGAAAGTTTCTGATCATAAATATCTCTAATCGAAACGAACCCCTGTGCTCGGTGCAGTCTATCTACCATACCTCTTTGTTTCTTACGAGACAACTTACTATTGAAATCAACATTCAGTATTATCAATAAACGATAGCTCTATGACACTCCTGTGTGCTGTTTTAATATGAAATATGTTTATAATGACAATTCTGTTTGCTACCACGAATAATTGAGATCATGAAACATGTAAAGAAGGAATACGAATTAAGGATTAATTAAATAAATTTTATTGATTATACCCATAATACCTGGTGGCCGCATTTCATTCCATAATTCCAAATTAGGGACAATTTTCAAATGAAACTATTCATATGGAATTTTCCGTATCAATAATATTTCGTTTATTTACCAATAATGAACTACAAAACTTTTTATGTAGGAATCTAATTATTTTTGAATGTATCCTATATTTATTGTTTAATAAAATGGCATGATTACCAGTGAATGACTCTGAAAGTGATCGAAATCCGTGATTTTCAGTTTGTATTCTTTTCTATTCATTTTAGCCGCCCTCCTCAGAATGCGATCCAGTTTTTCCACTTTTCCCTGCATCAACAACCACCTCGGAGATTCCGGAAGAACGCTGAAAGAGATCATCCAATTCCAATATAATACTCGGCAATTATTTTATTATAAAAGCTAACTGAATGCTCCGTAAGGGGTGGGAAAAAATTGAGTTATCAATAAATCAGTATTAAAATAACACTACAAAATCGCGCACTAAACTGAAAGATATATACCAACACAATCAATAAAGATAAAATAATTTCAATTATATATATACAGAAAGAAACGAAAAAATTAAGAAAAACAATTTTTTTAAGTTTTTTTAGTGCAATTCCCACTATTGTATGGATATACGTTTTGCTTTGGCTATATTGATACAATATTAGAAAGCACTCCTTTTTGCTGATATAATCGTGTGAGCTGACAAAAAGGTTACATCTTTTAATTTCCAGATTTTATTTTCTTCCTTTTTTTCGGATTTTTATTATTTTTTTATTTTTCCTTTTTTCATTGTTCTGTAATTTTTTCTTTTTTTTTCCATACATTTAGAACTTACGCTAAAGAGAAATCCAAACCATTAAAACGTGACAGAGGGGTTCGAATCCCAGTTGAAGACATTTTCGAGAAAGATTCTACCCACCACATCAACTAGGCTTCTATGAAAGAACAATACATCTGAAAGAAAAGCCCTTAGAAGAAATTCACAGGAAAATAAACTTTTCATTTTTGTAACCCTCTAAACAAGACAAAAAAAAAAACGTTTCTATGCATTTAAATAAAAACTAACGTCATTTAATAAAAATTCTTGTTTTCTCTCTTGTGTGTGGGTTTTTATTTTTACGCACATACATTTTTCAGAGGAGTGTTACAAATAAATAAATCAATGTTGTTTCTTTATATTCAATAAAAATAGAATGTTTTACAAGTAAGGTACACATAAAGTAGAGAGCCATGGATGCATTTAAGTTTAAATATAATTACTTACAAGAAGGCCAAAGCGATTGGTAATATTGGAATTGCCATTGCTAATTGGAACCAGAACCAGTGCCTGAAGAGATAGGCCACTCCGGCTAGTGAAGCAAAGCCAACTGACCAGCCTAGCTGCACTCCTATTCCAACGATCTCCCGGTCCCTTTCTCCGATGACCTCCATCACTGCAATAAAGATTTTTTTCAAATTACTCTAGGTAATACAACAATTTGAAAATGGAATGTTTGCTTCCCTTCCCCGTTATTTCGGCAAATCTTTTTTCCCCTCCATTTTAGCTTATTACAAATTCTTACTGAAAACCGGGATAGCTGGTGCGTAGGGCACTGGACCCATGCCCAAGAGTTCGTTGATTCGATCCCAGCCAGCCGAAGACTCCCCGTGTAGTCAATGGTGACTGATGCACGTTAAATCAGTCGAGTCACAAAGTGCTCCATGTTCCAGTACTGATCCAGGCGTTTCCTTGTCTTCTGGATTGGTTCAAAATTACAATGCTACGGCATTGAACTTTAGTAATCGTAAACCCAAAATTGGGTCTGCTGTTCAACGAAGGACGTAAAAAAAAAGGAAAAATTCTTACTGAAACGTACTGGCGTGAGGGAAAAGTAAGATTTGCCGTAACCATGGTAACGGAGAGAGGAAGAGTGGGAACTTCTATTCTATTTAAAAAGATAGTGTGTGACATTTTTTTTTCGTCGCTTAGTAAAATGCATAAGATGAATTGAGCTGTCTGAACTACTGTGACAGCATTTTCTTTTATGTGGTATTTTTTCAGACAGAGAAAAGTTTTACCCTATTAACCTACGTGTCACATATACACTTAATGTAATGTGACAATTTAATTTCTAATTTTACGTAAGCCTTTAATTTTTCTTTAAACGTTATTCCTTTTCTCAATTCAGCAATTTTTTTTAACTTTCCTGTCGACCTTTCTCATGGTCATTGCGGTCATCGCACTTCCTGTGGGGAAAGTCAACCAACCCCTCTATTCACGCCTTTCTTTTTCTTTTAATTTTAGGGGGCTAACTAACCAATCTCTTTCCTTTAAACTTCAAACTCTCCGCCTCTTTAAATTTTAATTGGCCATAACTTTTCTGGTCTACCACCAGTTAAGGAATTTTTTTAAGTCTTTTTTAATACATTCTCTCTCTCGAGCCTTCGGGCAGGTTACCTTTTTTTCTCCGAGATGCGGTCCGTATCAAGGGAATTTTTGTTTTATTTCGTTTTCTCAGCCAGCCTATAATTTAAATTAAATCTGTGAAATTAATTTCTGTAATTTTAATAGCTTCATTTTTACCCTTAGTTTTTTTTACATTAAAGACCCTCTCGAATTTAAGCTTTCTAGCTATGAATATCTTTTCTATAGTTAAATTTCTCGTTTTATTTATTTTAATCTTATGCATGACACCTCCTATCTCTTTAATCTCTTTTCATCCATTTCTGTTAAATGGCATTCCTAATGTTAATTGTGTTATCCAATTTTCCACTTAATATTATGAGAGTTGTATCGAAATAAATGTTCACGGTCGTTAAAATTAATGTGTTCATCTCTTCATTTGCTGTTCTCGTCAAATTCTACTGTATGTGGTGGGTGAGTTTGTGACTCTGTTTTGGGCTCTTTTTCTATATTGGAAACATCAGCTTATTCCATTTATCTTAAATGTGAAATTGTATCTGGATATAGCATGACTTTATCGTTTTTATCTTTAATATCTAACCTATTTTAGTTTCGCCCTTTTTCCAAATTTGGTGATGCCAATTTCATCCAATTTGTTCAAACCTCACACTTTTTGTTCCTTTGAACCTATTGGGTTATTGTTATCCCACAAATGCATTGTACAACCACTTTCATTAACGATCACGCTCCCCTTAATTTAATTTAATTACCTTTTATACATTTCGGCTTTAATTTATTTATCATGACATTTCAATCATTTAACTATTTTTTATCATGACTATATCCAAATACAAGTACTTTACCAATGATTTCAACCCGTCTATCAATTTTATTACATAAATAACTTTACTTTTATGCGCACCAAATAACACAATTTAATTAAACTCTTACACTACGGAATATGTTCTATTAAACCTCATTACCAAATTGTAATTATTTTCAAAACTTCGAAAATTCTTACCACCTAAACATTTGGCAACTCACTTCAATAAAACACATTTCAGTGTATAAAGTGAAACAATAAAATTTTCAATAATATTAATGAGTTATTTAATAATTAATGATCAGAAGAGATAAAATATTCCAGTTTGTAAAATACCTTCAAAAACAGTTCAGGTTTTAGGTCAGTTTGATCAAAAATTAACGTACGTTAAAAAAACAATAAAGCGAAAAATGTTCTTATTTGCCATTATGGAGGAGTTTTGCTGCTATAGCCTGATTTAGAAAGTAATTCTAAAATTATTTTTTATCGAAAAAAAAATTTTTTTAATGAACTTTATATTTTATTTATTAGCTTGCTATATCATTTTATTTAAATATTTTGTTTAATTATGAAAAAGACTGATGTGGCAATTAAAAATAAGAAACTGAAATTTCAGAAGAAAAGGGAGAAGATAGTGTTTCTGACCATAGCACAAAATTGTTTTTTTTTTTTTNAAAGTAACTGTAATGGAATATTATATACACTTTCTGGCCAAAAGAATCAAGACACCCAGTGCACATAATTATATGTTGGGGCCCCATTTATGCTCAAAATTGGAACATCATAGGTCCTATATGAACATGCACCAAGGAACCCATATTGGGATGTCTAGAATTTTTAATATGAGTTCTATATAGGGCCTATATTGGCTGAATATAAAATATCGGGAGAATCTGACGATTCTGTATGGGACGGATATGGTTGTAAAGCAACAGGTGAATCGGACTAGGGCCAATATCGGAAAAATGACGGCTCTTTGAACCTTTATTGAGCCAAGATTCGTGAATGTGGATCCAATAAGGGTTATTTTGCTGCTAGGGTAATATGAAGTTGTCTTTTGCATCGCTGACAGCCTCCATTTTTTTTACCAGTTTTTGATAAGACTTCCATTACAGCTGATGTGAGGATTTGGCTGACTACGTCATCTGCTGTCTCATTCGTCCCAAAGGAGTTCTATGGGATTTAGATCTGAGAAGGCCAGTCCAGTGTTTGAACACCCATTTCGTCGAAACGAGTTTGTAGGTGCCGGGATAGCCTGGTGGGTAGGGCACTGCAGCCATGTCCGAGAGGTCGTGGGTTCAATCCCCGCCGGCCGAAGACTCCTTGTGTAGTAAATGGTGACTGAGGCACGTCACAAAGTCCTCCATGTTCCTATAACACATCAATACCGCCGGGGGTAAGGATCCTGGAGTTCTTCTGGATCGGGCTCAAAATGACAAGGAGTTGAACATCGGTCAACCCAGAATTGGGTCGGCGGTTATAAAACCAAATTAAAACCAAGTTTGAATGGAGCAGTTATCCTACCGGAAGAGAAATGGACCGAAATATTGCCATAAGAGTGCAGCATTGTCCACATCTCAGAAGCACAGGAGCTAACGGACCAAAGCACGAGAATCACCACACACACATGCACCTGGTGTCGTTTTGTCCAAATAGTGTCTTACGGGTTCCTTAAAGAAGCGAAACCAAAAATATGTCATTGCAAATTTCTCAGATATTTCCTGTGTACAATACATAAAATGACCACTTCAATAGATAGCGTTTGAGCTTCAGGTAAACCCGACAAACTAAGAGGTAGAAAATCTCTCTCTATTTAACAGTAATTATTAGCGATACTGGGAATTATAGGAATATTGTCTCACGCGTACTGTGAAGATCAAACAGCGATTTAGGGAAAATCGAAATGCTTTTGGAAAAATCTTTCAATTATTGAAATCTCTTATGACTACTTTTCCTTCATTTTTTAAGGGCCGTACGAATGCTGACAATTACATATTACGTCATGCATCATTTACATTAGATATTTTTCATTACAAATAGAACAATCCAATTAAAACCTGCCTCATATTATGAATAACTATTATTCAAAAGAATTCATTTTCAAATGAAATTAAGTTTTTTTTTTATATTATAATAAATTGGATTTAGACATGAAACGTCTGAACCGCGCATAAATGGCTAAAAATCCTTACAAAAAATGTGTTCGCATTCATTTATCTATATAGTTATTATTTAGGTCAAAACAAAACATTTTTTCACGTTGAATTCATTTTGGTACCTATCCGTATATGAAGTCCCATATGAAGCATGGCGAAAAATCTCCAAACTTCGTCATCAGTACGTCGGTAAAAAGTACGCCGGTATTTCCGTTTCGTACTCTACTGACTGAAAAGTACCTCAATTTGGTTGAATTTTTTTATGATACGATTTTAGTTTACATCAAAACTATAATCTTAAGGTTTATGTACAGAAACTTGGATCATTTCCGAGGAAAGTAGAATCACTTTCTGCTGGTATTCGCAAAGAAAAAAAGTATGTTGTCAATCGAACTTGTTTCATTTGTATTTTGAACATTATTTTATTACAAAGATGTATTTAAAGTGCCGTGATTTTCAATTGCAAAAATGGTATTAGTGGTAATAATATGTAATAAAATGATAATTTAACGGAAAACAACCACTCGCAGGTCAAAAATGATTGCTGATATCAATTTTTATCGTGCAATCTCAAAGAACTAATTTTTTTTTCTCTTGTATAATTTAAATAAATAAAATTGTCTTACCAATCAGAAATCTGTCCAAAGGTAATGACTGAAATTAGAAATCCAACCATGTAAATAGATTTGGCGAGAGATATCAGCCATTCTCTATCGCACACTAAATCCCACTGAAAAATAGAGTCACCATAGTAAATATATATAGAAATACACTCAACATTCTGATCTGACTACAGATCAGAAGTTTGCATGTTCACACCAATGTGGAGAGATCGTCTATGAAAACCAACATAGAATCAATGTGAATTTGTAGAGTTGTTGAAACTGATAAAAAGAACAGATAATAAAGACACTTTTAATTACTAGATTTGTGTTTGCCTCATCGTGGCTGGAGGGTATAGAGCCACCAATCCCGTATTATCCAGCTAAAATCAGCAGGCACAAGAGGTGCTCCAGTCTTTTTGACCAACTGTCATTCCCTTCTTTATGTTCGAGGGGGTTATCGGTTACCTCCTTCTAACATCGTATATTCTAAACATTTAAATAGGCCGGGATAGCCTGGTGGGTAGGCAGCTGGACTAACGTTTGTGAGAACGTGAGTTCGAATACAGACGGCCGAAGACTCCCCGTGTAGTAAATGGTGACTGGTGCACGTTAAATCTATCGGGTCATAAAGTCCTCCATGTTCCCCTAACAAATCAATAAATCTGGGGGGAGGGTACTGAATTGGAGATGGATCGTTCCTTGGTTCAGTTCGAGATGGATCGTTCCCTGGAATGAATGGATGTATGAATGAGTACACCCTATAAACGGGTGTGACGTATGGGCGTGGAAGAGGTCAACTTCTTAGCCATAGTAGGCACCAGCACCTCCTCAGCCTTAATGGCTGACGACAACAACAACAAATGCTTAAATAACCAAAAATGAATAATAAACATTTCTTTTATATATACATCCTACATACAAGACAATAGTTCATTCATCAAGTAATATACATATAATTTCGGAGGGGCTTTTGTCCCCCAAAACTACGCCACTGTTCAGATGGCTTCTTGGACTTCAGTATTGGGTCGTTCAAAACGTTATTTTATATATATATATATATTGCGCTTACCATTACGCCTAGTGACCTTATTCTTCAAAGTGCCTGAAGAGAACTGCAGCTTATTTGAAGACTATATTGAAAACCTATAATAGTCTTTCGACTTTTATCTGTATCCCACCCATAGAAGCTCGTAAGATACTTACTTGGCTGACAATAGTTTCAGAGTTGTCGTATATCCACTCTGAACATGGCATAGTATCATTTGCTGTCACACATTCTTCTGTTGAATTGACACACCGGAAGGGAACATTCGGTGCCAAGAATGTGATGGAAAGATTCTGCCACACGCCGATCACGCTGATGTAAAACACAGATCCGAAGATGAGTTTTTGCCAACGACCGAAGCTTCCTGTTATTTCTGTTATCATCGTGCCTGTGAAACCAAGTTTGTAAAATGGTGAGTATTTCCGACCACAATAATGAATGAAACGCGGAAACTGCGAATTTAATAATTGCAGGTGAACAAACATTTCATTGAAGAATAATGCTTTCCTTTCATGTCTCACAGCGTCTATAAAAGTGAGTGACATGGGTGTGTAGCTACATTAAAATATTTTATTTACTACAAGCTGAATACCCATTTACAGCAATGGAGAGAATTAAACAATCAGTATTGAAACACTGCACAATTCACAGTCAAACCCATTCAGTAATGAAGCAAACAATGTTTGTTGCTACATTCCATGCTATAGATGATTTTTAAAATCGGTATGTGTATTTATTTTGAGGAAGAAATTTCAAAATGATCACAAAAAAATGAAGAAAATCATACTATCCAACTTCCTCTCTTTTTTTTGGTTCACTATATCCACAAAAAATAACCTTATACATGTGTAGCAAGGCACGGGAGAGAACATTTTATTCACCGGAGTTCACTATAAACCGTGCTCACTATAGCCGGGTTTGACTGTATTAAGATAAAATAAGTTCAATTTTTTTTCTTTTCTTATATTACTGTTTTTTGGCCCTGCAGATGGATTTACGTTATTAGATGAACCCATTTTAAACCAAACAGAAAGTTTACAAAATATGGCATTATTTTCATTGAAACATCCTTAAGTTGCCTTCATTAAGACTCAAAAGAAAGCATTTTATTTAAGAAATAAAAAGGTGCGTAAATAGCAGAGTTGGTCGTCGATTACAACTCAATTACTTGTAATCACGATTACAAGTAATCGCCATTACAAGTAATCAAAATTTTTGATTACAGAGTAGAACAAACATGTAATCGATTACATTTTTCAATTACAGTAATCAATTACTTGTAATCATGATTACAAATTTTGATTACAACTGTAATCGTGATTACAATACTCGGTTACAGCAATCAATTACTTGTAATCATGATTACAAACATTTATAATTTTGATTACAACTGTAATCGTGATTACAACTGTAATCGTGATTACGAAACCAATAACTGTAATCAATTACTTGCAATCGTGATTATAAGTAATCATAATGTACGATTACATGTAGTCATGATTACATGTAATTTGATTACATATAATCATGTAATCTAAATACACGATTACAAGACTATTGTATTCTTATGAAGAATTATATTTTACAGTAGATAGTATAATGTTTCTTATAATGATACATTTTGTACGTATTTGTATACGTACAAATGATTGTAACTAAAATGTATGTACATATGATTTTATCTAGTGCATATGTACAGACATTTTAGTAACACAAACATGTACATACACTTATATTGTAAGCATAGAATATATGTACGTATGTATATATCTAATAATTACGTATGTATGTGCAAACAATGTACACTTGTACATTTATACACAATGAATATATGCATTTTATGCAAATACTTGTGTATGTAAAATGTATATCTATGTTTATGTACTCATGTATATACAAGTACTTGTTGTTTGTACAAACATACATACATTGTCTGTACAATGTATGTCCCATTCATGCATGCAATTTATTAATAAACAGTATAATATCTGTATACATGTACAATATAGGTATATATGTAGTATGTACAATATATGTATGTATACATGTACATGATATGCATGTCCAATATATGGATGTACATACACACAATATGTTCATGCTCAATGTATGTATCCAAATATGCATAATACATTTGTGTACGATTGTACGTACATTGGGAGTATTTATATTTTACATATATATGCATACATACATTCGACATGCATATATTGTACAGATGTACATACAGGCATTCGACATGCATAACGTATGCACATACACACATTTGAGATGCAGATATGGTACAGATGTATATACTTATAGTGTACAGATGTATATTCATATAATGTACATATGATGTAATGAACATATAATGTTCATATATAAACATATGTGTGTGCATATACAGTACATATGTGCATAAATATATTGAACATAATTCTTTCGTACAGATTTTACATGTGTACATGCATGCTTTCCCAATCTATGCATATGTGCAATGTATATATGTCCAATGAATGCATCCACACATGTACAGTGCACGCATGTTCCATGTATGCATCTCCATATATACTATTTATGCATGAATGTATGTACATACAATGCACATATGTACATACATTACGCGTAGACATATGTACATGTGTACATTACATTTATGTCTAAATATGTGTACAATACAATAAATAAAACGCATGTAAGTTAACTTTTAATGACTCAAGCAAGTTAAAAGACAAAATCAAACGATATTTAAATTTAGTTTTCAGCTTTAATTGTTCTATGTCATTTTAAAATTCCTTGAATAAAAAATTATTTTCAGGTACATTCATGAAATGTTTGACAATACAGATTTAATTTTTTTATAACATAATGCATGGTTCATAGAAATTTTTTAAAGGGCAAAAAAAAAAACATGGTAAATTTTATGTGTGGAAATAATATTTAGAAATTTAAAATAAGATTATCGTTTGCTTTCTAACCATAAAAATCACCAGATTATTATTGACACTAATGCTAATATTTATAATACGTATTAATTGAAGTAAAATAGTACTAATTGATTCTTTACTTTCGTTTATCCCCCCTGTGCGATATTTAGATATAGTAATACTGGTATTTAGATATTTATAGACTTAGATAGACTGGTATTTAGATATAATAAATTATAAAATAATCCACTACATCGCTTATTTCATCTTGTTTCTATTTATTACTCAAACTTCTTTATATTCATTCAAATATTAAGTGATTCCGTTGTTTTCAAAAATTGGAAGTACCATACGACAGAGCCTCATTTGAAGTTTTGAGAATCTATCTCTTTTTATTAGTTTGCATGAATATTAACATGACATCAATTTTGCTAAATTCAAATTGTTTTTTTTACATAAAAATTATTTTTGTTTATATAAATTCCAACAAAAAGAAACAGTTTTTTTTTTAAAAAATTTTCCTCCGGCAAAAAAGAATTTTCTTTTTCGTTATTCTTCGGGAAGATACGAATAAATTTTATAGAAACACAACCATTTTAAAATTTAATAACTCCAAAAATTATTCAGAATTTGTAAGAGCGATATCCAAGAGTGTGAAACATGGTAATTTTTTCTCTGAAATTGGTAGTAAGTATATTACTATGTATATATATATATATATATGGGTGATTCTCACGAAACATGACAATTCGGACCAAAAAATTTCTTCAAATTTAAAGTCTTCAAAATAATCTAAATTTTTTTTTGTATACTTCCTTAGCTACACTTATTAATATCTTATAGACAGCAGCCTAGTTTATGGACAATTGCTCGATAAAAAAAAAAAAAAAAAAAAAAAAAAAAAAAAANACCAAATCTTGAATGCCAGGAAAATGACATATTACCTTAGAAGTTTAATAAACAGTCATTTTAAGTAAATAGTAAGTAACTCAACTTAAGCCTTTATATTAGATGGACCATAAATTGCTTAAATTATTTCTTTTCATCCACTGTAGAAAGAAACAAAAAATTTTTGTTGTTGATATGTACAGAATAAAATTGCGTATAATAATCAATCATTGAATAAATGAATAACTTTGATTACATCCAAGCATATTACAATCATACATAAACTTGGTATTAGGTTAATATTTTCCTTCCCTCTTTACAGTATTAGCTGTTTAAAAGAGTTTCTGGAAACACTTCAATATCCTGGCATTCATAAGCCAGGAAAATGACAGCCAGGATAAAGACAAATTCGCCATTTTATAGCTTATAACTTTACTTCAATTTAATATTTTGGCCGAAGACGTTTATATTCTGCAGAAAACAACAGTATTTCTTAAAATAACTCAGATTAATCTATGTAGTTTTTGTTATTAATGATTTCAAGAAGCCAGGAAAATGACAGCATTAAAACCTACTCACCTTGAAAAATGTTTTGAAATAGATTTTGAACCAGAAAATTGGTTCTTTATTCATGCAACAAGACATGTTCAGATAGGAGGGTATCTAATCAATCTATTAACATAAGATATTGATTCCTGGCGCTATCTATTTTGGTTATAAATCACTAAATAAAAGTAGCCAGGAAAATGACAAATTTTCATGGGACAAACAAATTATTGACAGAAAATTTTTTTTTAAGCGAAGTTTTAGTAAACAATACCCTCTGCGTATATTCTAGAAATGCTTACGTAGGATAAGATAAAAAAAAAGTTAGATTTTAAAAAATGTATGGGAAGTTTTGAAGCTAGTTATTATTGGAAATATTGTTTGAGACGTGCCAGGAAAATGACATTTTATTATTCAATTAAATTTTTTAAGGATACAAAACAGTCAATGCTAGTGCAAAGTCATTTTAAAATGCTAGGAGCAATGCTATTTATTAATTTTTTTTTAAAAAAAGTTCTTTTAGTATTGTAGTATTGGATCTTGGAGCAAGGGACAGTGAATTGTCATGTTTCGTGAGAATCACCCATATATCTATACAGAGAGAGAGAGAGACCTTGCCAAATCATTAGACGCACAATAAGATCCTATGTAAAATCTTAATTATCCAAGTGATACCATACAGCATTATTATTTTGACGCTGTTGAAACCGGTTACACTTGTTTATGTTCGTGTATCAATTGGTTAACATTGTAATGTAATACGTTTAAAATGAACACAAATAGGAAGTACATAGAAAATCTCCTGAATAAAAACNTATATATGAATGAAAATATAAAATGAACGCTGGTCAAGTATTATTAGCATTCTTAATATACAAGGTGAAAAAATAATGAAATGAATTCTTTCTGCTTTAATATAAAGTTTTATACTGAAATGATTCAAATGAAGTAAAGCAAAACTACCTTGTTTTATATAATGCAAAAGGAAAATTTTTTTTACAATCTTAAAATAACAATTTCACTAATTTAAAAATTTGAAAAAAACAAAACAAACTGACCTGAATCCCGCATGGTTATCTCTACTCTCTTTTATGTAGCAATGTTAAAGCACAATCGAGGTCATCAACTAGAAAGACAACAAATATCGCATGTGACGACAACTAGGTCAATCATTTACTTTCCGCGACATTCTTGTTTTTTTTTAAGCATAGGATAATAATTTTTTATAATTTATAAATTGCAAATGACTATCAAACGGATAAATATCCTGAAATAAATACGAATAAATAAAGGAACTAAATTCCAATTTACTATTTGGAACTATGAGGAATTGTCTCCTTTCAAAGATTAACTTCCTTAGATTTAAACTTTCAGGAGGAAAAAATTGGTGATATTTACGTATTTTAGGAGAAAGTAAACTCATAAGTTCGATAAAATATTTTCTTTTTAAAAATCAGGTCATTAAATGTAGTTAAATTTTTTAAAATTAATTTTAATGATTGCATATAAAATGATTCATTTATATTTTTAGCCTTTTTTGTATTTTTAGAGTTAACTAGCTGCCTCCAGTGACGATCCGGTCCTCCTAAAGGAGTAAATAAATAGAATTTCAAGTATTTCGAGATTTTAAATCATTCAGCCAAAAATAACGACACTGTATACAATCTCTGGCCAAATTATTGGACGCATTCTAAGATTCTATGTAAAATCTTCATTATCACGTGATACAGCTTTAGTGTTTTTATGTGAATGTTTGCACTTGTTTACGTTAGTGCATAAATGGGTTAGATTATACGATACATAATATAAATTTGACGATATAGTGTATAAATATGGAATATTTATTATATCAAGCATTACATTAGTATATTATAACAACTGGAAAAAAATATGAGACGCACTGTTGTTTTTTAATAATGATATGATTGGCACGAGGGTAATACTTTTATATTTAGGCATCCATTTACATGGATTTTTATTCAGGAGATTTTTTATAGACTTCCCATATGTGTATTTATTTTTAACGCATTGCATGATAATGTTAACCCATTGATAGAGGAGCGTCAACAAATGCAATCCGATTAAAAGCAATAAAGCTGTATAGAGTATCACCTGAGTAATTATAATTACATATAGAATATTAGAGTGGTTTGGCGAGGGATGCAGACATGCCAAATCAGTTCCATATACATAAAACATGTGATCAATTTTTGAAACAAAAAGAAAATTACAAGCAAATAAATACACAATTTATTTTCTATACAATGCAAAGTCCTTTTTATGAACACTTTTTTATCCATTCAACCCTGGATGAGTAGTTATGAAAGACAAGTTTATGAACAAATGTACAACAAGAGTGTTTGGAGGAGGAATGAGAGACTATGTGGAGCCGAGAGAGGAAGAACTATTTTCGGATGATTTGTTCCTTCGTGGGTCTTCGGGTGTCCAGACTTTAGCTACCATGACGCTGCCGTTTGGGGCACCTGCTTTCTCACTGGACCATGAGAGGGAGTGACCAGCCAGTGGTACATAACCAGTGCCTGCAAATATTTGTTGCATAAATAATCAGGTTTTCTGGAATTATTCTTCGATACATATACCGAGCCAATGAGGGTGACACCCACAGTGGAACCAATAAGGTATTTTAACTCAACATGACCAAAACCAGTTTCGCACTTTTAATGTATGTTTGGAAGGGATTTATCTATCCTACGCAACTGAAGGTTTCTTAGAGATATCCCGATCTGACCACTAGGAAGTAAAACCAGTTTACGAAGGGGCCATTTTATAGAAAATGTAGCAAAAATAAAAAAAAGTAGTAGCAAATGTTGATGGTCTTATTGATGGTCTTATTTACTTGACAACAGCCACAGATTTAATTCACAAATATATGATAAATTACTCTTAAAATAGAATTTGGGCACAGCTGGTCATATATGGCAGTACTTTTACTTTCGTTGCTTGTACCGCCGGTACAAGAAAAAAGTACGCACTTTTACTTGTATTTCGTTACTTTTTAAATTTAGTACTTTTACTTGTACTTTCGTTACTTTTTTTGCGAAGAAGTACAAGTATTTGTAACGGAAATGGCGAATGAAATCGTTACTTTTTTCTAAAGCTCGGTGAGCTTTCTAAAAAAAAAATTTAAAAAAAAATGCTGTCAAAATACAATTATTTTGCTAAATGAATAAAAATATTAATTAGGAAGTTATTTTCATTCATTTTATTCATTTTCGAGTTTTATGTTTCTGTTTAATACATTTTAAATAAAAAATGTTGGATTTTGTTATTACGTTTTTCAATTTTCTTTTTGAACTCACTAATAACACATTTTTGTCTTAATACATTTTTTACTAAATACATTTTTACCTAGTACATTTTTTACTAAAATTATGTTTATGCCCGACCTAGTCAAACAACGCCCAGTCAAATCTCTAAGAACTTCGGAACTATTTGTGCTACTGAAAACTATTATAATTACTATTTTAACTCTTGAAAACTCGAAGGTATTAATTTAGCCGCTGATACTAAAATTCGTTTACAAATTTTAATTATTCCGTTAGGCAGAAATGTTCGGAAAATGATTTTCTCGCATGACTTCAGCATTAGCCATTGTTACAAATAAAACTGTAGACTGTTCTGTTTCAACTTATACTGCACATTCAATTATTTTTTACTAGCTCAAAGATCACAAAGCTATCTGAAACCCCGTGTTTGCTTTGTTTATGTTTGTGCTTTTAAAACGCGTTTCTATAGAGTAAAACAATTTTAAATCAATGGTAATTTAAATAAATAAAAATAATAAACTAAAAATTAAAATCAATAGATAAAATTTCTTTTTCGTGCAAATCCATAAAAAGTTTGATATTAAAATTATATTTGATTTTAAAATTATATTATACGATTATATTATAAAATTATATTATAATATTCTTCCGAATTTAAAAATAAATTAATGTCCATAACTTTCAAAATTAAAAATAATTAAATAAATAAAACCAATTTTGCAAAAACATTGAAGAACATAAGAATATTATTCAATAAAATTTTAGATTACTTTGAATTTTCGATTTCCTAGAAATGTACTTCCTAGAATCGTTACTTTTTTTGTTTAGAACTTGTACTTTTACTTGTAATTTTCACTCGTTACTTTTTAAAATAAGAACTTTTTACTTTTTACTCGTTACATTTTTTTAAAATACTTGTACTTTTACTCGTTACTTTTTGAAAGTAACGTTGCCATATATGCAGCTGGTTCACTTTTTAAATAGTGTGGAGCACAGACTTCTTATGAAAAACCGAGAAGTAGGAGACGATGGCGTTCTTCTGATATATATTATTTTCTCCAAGCGTACTACTATAAACTACAAAAAATAAATAGTGAAAATACTTTTAAAACTACTTTACCGTACATAGCTCATTAATCAGATAATGTATAATTTCGGAGGGAGTTTTGTCCCCCAAAACTACGCTACTGGCCGAAATTAAACAACAACTGAATGCGGATGAATATCAGATACATTTTGTGATGCAAAATGATTTATTATATATATGTCTAGATCTTTGATTTGCCATTTCATACGTTTACTCAATTTATTTAGAATTTCCTTATAATTCGGAATAAGAAAGAGAATAAATGATTCATACCAGAGCTTTAAATATTTTAGACAAAAAAAAAAAAAAATCAACATTGGATTCACAAATTATTCCGTAAAATTTCAAACACTAATAAAAAAAAATAAATAAAAAAATATACAGATTACGGAATTTGGAAATAAGCATTAATTCGAAAGAAAATTTGGATTTCCTGAATTTTAGAAGTCCTAACGGGAGAAAAAAAACAGAAATATGCAATTTCGAAGTAGACATTTATTTTTAACAATAATTAGAAGAAGTTAGAATTTTAGAGCTCCCTATAATTCTGAAGAATATGAGTAACAATGAGATAATTATTTGCAATTTAAGAAAGCATGGAAAAGAAAATTTGGATACTTAAAACTTTTGCTCTCACATTTTTTTTAAAAAACTGTTTGACGAATTCAACAAAACAGTTTTCACAGAGTGTTATAATTATTTATTTAACAATAATTAAATAACGTTTTACTCAAATAGTTTTATACAGAAGAAAAATAAATAAATTCGATCGATTCGGACATACGATTAAGAGATTAGCCGTGAATTGAATTTAAAGATACTCAATTTTTCAGCATTCCAAAAAGGATTACATTTAGCTACAAAATGATGAGTAACTCTCTTATTATTCATAAATACTTTGACCAGTAGAAACAAAAAAATTCTAATAGTGACATATTTTTGAAATAACTGCCAATGGAGTACCTGTGTAGTGTCTCTATCCTCATGGGTTCTTGAAACGTGGGATTTGTTCACGTTATCGACTGTTCCTTCCATTCTATTTCGAGTAAGCTAAGCCCGTCAAGTATCCATTCTCTTAAGTGACACATTCTATGTTCTTTCTTAAATATTTCCATTCTTTTACTGTACATTTACTCAGAGACTTAACACAAAGACAGGCAAGAAGCCAAACAAACTAATTATGCATCGAAGTTGCCAGGTACACAAAATACGGTTACAATAAAACGCATAAGCAAACAAGTAATGAATTAAAAAAAAAAAATTTAAGTCAATTCCTATTTTGAACAAAGAAAATTTTAATTTTAGTTACTTTTGATTAAATAATTAAAATTTTTCTCCCATATAAAATTGAAATTAAATTTAATGAATGAATTAATATTTGAAAAAAAAACTGTACTAACATGCAAGTGACTATAAGTTTAAAAGGAAATGTATTTGAGTGGATGAAGTATTTGATGAGCGATCGAAATTTTGAAAGAGGATGTATATAGGGAGGCTGTTAACTAGTAATAGGTATTGAATAATATAATATAAGTTAAGTGAAAGAAGTATACGAGATATTTCAAATCATTCGATACAGCACTTGTGCTTCCTTAACTCATCGTTAAATAACATTCGAACTTACATATGGACAGAAACTTAGCTCAACTTTATGCCATTTTGCTGATAAAGATTAGATAGGTCACGTGTGTGGGTATGGGAGGTCTTCTTCAACCCAATCGCATTTCAATGAGTGTCACATGACTTCTGTTTCGCCAATCATCATACTGATGATGGTGTGATACCGAACCTTATTACTGTTTTTTTTTTTTTTTAAATTTTATTATGAAGGATCATTTTTTTTTCTCACTATTTCAGAAACTGAAAATATCAATAGTCGCTGTTTCTAAGCTGAAATACAAATGATGACCACATTAAGATTCTATGCAAAATCTTAATTATCACCATTTATTGTTTTTGAGCGGCTGAATCACTTGTTAACGCTCGTGTATCAATTGATTAAATGAGACTAATATAAATTCAACGATATGTTATATAAATATAGAGTAATTATTATATGAGTACATTATAATAATAATACATCTAATTATCAGACGCACTTATAGTGTTTTAATAATGACATGATTGGCACGAGTCAATATTTTTCTATTTAAACACACATGCCATGGGTTTTTTATAGACTTCCCATGTGTATTTATCGTTATTGCATCACAATGTTAACCCATTGATTGACTAACGCAAACAAGTCGCGCAAAAACAATAAAGCGCTGTATCACCTGAGTAATTATAATTTTACATAGAATCTTAGAGTAGTGCGTAGACATAATATATAGCCTGTAAAATGCAAATGATGAGATTAGACGGAGAGAAAAATAATTTTATTTTTATACTCTGAATAAGGAGTTGTGTTTACTTTTTGTAAGTATATTAATATATAGTATATATTTGTTAATATAAACACTTAAAAACTTAGGCAGAGCATTCGTATCTTCGATTGATGGGGTGGACCAATGGGAAAGCGAAGATGACGCAGCAGCAGACACCTGGAATTTTTCCCACCACTTCCTATCTACTCACGGACCTTTCATCGATTACAGCAGAGGCAGATAAAATGGGAACCCGAAAGCACAATTTTCACCTTTTGGAATTTTGAGGGTTTTAATTCGTCTTCGTGTACGGAAAAATTATATTTTTACTGTAAAAAAAATACGTTAAAATGAGTGTTTACATGGAGCGCAACTATTGCTAAAAAATAAATTGACTTATAAATTGATTATTTAATTTAATATTTTGTACAAACGTTACTGTAAATGTGGGTTAAAAATTCAAAAGTAATGTTTTGAGTAAACGATTCTAGATGTTGTTTGCTATTTCAATTTTAAAATTTCATGGTGACATAAATAAAGACTATTTTCATAGAACAATTTGTTCCACTGAAATTGAGTGAAAGTTCTTAAAAATGTTATTTTCTATATTCAGTCAAATCCCGCTATAGCGAACTTTCAAGACTCCTAAATTTCGGTTGTTCACTCTATCCGGGAGTTCACTGTAAACCATGTTCACTATAACGGGGTTTGGCTGTATTTCGTTTATAAAATATTATTGCGCAATTTTTTTTTAATATTTTTTATTTTATTTTTTTTATACTTCAACAGGAGGTAAATAATAGACTCAATATTTTTTCTTTCTGATTTTAAATTAAAATTACATTTCTATTCTAATTATTTCTAATGTGGGCAATGGAAACACACAGTTCGTTCTTAATAAAATCCTTGTCGAAAATGAAGGTAAAACACATATAAAAATAACAAACGAGATCATTAATCGAAAATGAAGAAAGTCTCGCACGTGAAAGAAATCGAAAACGGGGTAGAAATCTTGCAAATAAGGAGGTGAAAAAAAAAGCATCGGTTTTAATATCAAACATGTTTTGATGTCTCGTTAAAGCTTAGTTTAGATACTGAATAGTGCTGCTCATTCGATGTTCCAGTCCCGTATGATAAATGAAGTTCCGCAAACATTAATCTTGCGGAAACACTTTTATTCTTAAACAGATAAATTCAATCAATGAATTCACTTGATTTTGATTAGCGAAAAATTTAAGTTCAAAATCTCATATTTTCACTTTAACGAGTGCCTAAGTAGGTAATCTGTAGATTATCTAAGGAATTTTTTGGCACTTATACCCTAGTTAATCTGCTCTAGATAATTGTTATACTGTGTCTCTCCGAATATGATGTTAAGCAAACCTAAAAATTATGTGAAAAAATACTTTTTTTTTTAATATAATACTTTTCATATCCCATTTAAATGGTGTATGTAAATAAAATACAAAAAAAGTTTGCACTAAGTTCACGTGCCTTCACACCATACGTTAAATATTTTCCCTTCTGAAAACTTTCATGTTTTCTAGGCATCGTCTGTAAAGTTAGCTGTTAAAGGTTCTTTTTTTTTCTCGAAATAAATTTTTCCTGTATGCTTTTAGTTGTGTAATGAGGATACTTTTATTTTAATTTTCAAGTCTCTGTAAATTGTATTAAATAATTTTATAGTTTCTAACCGCATCTGTGCTTTGTTAAGAATTCTTAACATTCTCTCTGTGCTTGATTGGCATACTTAAGAATCCATGCTAATGTTAATACTGTCTCAAAAAAGAATAATAAATAAAACTAATAACTTCACTGATTTCGTTACGCATCATATTTTACTGTACCTATAAATTTCTAGAGCTACAACAATCGTGGTGGTTATACCGATTAGAGTAAAAGAACGTGCGTCAGGTTCTTGGCAGAAACTATGGATGCAATGAAACACCTGTTATAGCTGCACCAGTGGCGTAGTTTTAATATATGTTCGAGGGAGTTAAAGGTCATATCTCTTTCACGTAATAAAGTATGTATATATATACATATATATATACATTTAGATTACAAAAAATAACTTTTTTATATGTACATCCTATTTACCGTACAATTCATTATTCAAGTAATATTTAATTTCGGGGGGGGGGGGTTGTCGCCCGAACCTTCCCCATAACCACGCCACTGATTGGAACACCACTTTGGTGTTAGGTAGTTGACACCATCTTTGGTGTCAGATACGCGAACATTTTTTACAGTGTAGAAAAACTGCTTTTTACACTTCAGCGGTAACACGTGGAAAGTACAAGTATTTTTCAAAATTAGCTGTTTTTTTATATTACTAGGAGGCTTCACCCCCTGCTCGCTGGCGCTCGCCAACCCCGAAACTGCTTTCGCAGTTCATTTCGGATTGCTTCGCACTCCGATGCTCGCTTTGCTCGCTCATTGGCTACGTTCTTAACGTCTAGCTTTTGTATACTTTTTTGAACACTGAAGTTCCGAAAACTTTTCACTGTAGAAAATTCTAAACCTGTGCATTTCAATATTAATTTGAAATTCCAAACAGTTCACATATTTTTACTAATCACACTATTCTAAATTTCAGTTGTTGAGAATATCATCGGTTTTATTGATACATACGTACGTATTAGCGTTTTATATAATAAGATAGATTGTTCTATCCTTTGAGAAACGTCTACTATGCATTTAATATATGAGTAGTAGGCTCCACCCCTTCTTCTAGTGACTAGGTAAACTTATATCGTCTGCTCAGCAATCCATGCTCGCTTCGCTTGCTACAAAGTTAAACCCATTTGAAATTAAAATTTTTCAAATTTATTCCTCTTTAGAATTTAAATATTTAGTCAACAATAAGTTGTTAGAACAAAAAAAAATTAAATTGGAACGAATGCAATAAAAAACAATTATTACTTTTAAAGTAAATTACTATCTCAACTTCGCAAAAAACACAATTATGAATTTCTGAACTTTGAACTATTATTGAAAAGCTGTCAAAATACCATATTAAGAAGTTATTAAATTAACAAGGAATGCACTTATTAGGGTCGAAGCTGCATAAGTATCATTAAAACATAGTACAGAACACTTTGTTTGTTGATATGAGCGCTTTTAACCTTTTCAATGTTAAGCTCGTAGTTTGCTTCAGCTTCTCGTTGCTCACACGAAAAAGGAATTTTCATTCAGAAGTTTGAAAGCTATCACGTTTATGACAGCTCACACGCTTGAAAAGCCTTTGCTACCTCGCTTCGATACCATTTTTTTGTCGCTCACTCGAAAAATAGATGAGGTTGCCGTGTATGGAGATGGCGTCATAACTTACGTGTAGGAGAGTAAAAAAAATGAAACAAGCATCATTTTTCAAATATTATTGCTTTTTTTAAAAAAAAGAAAAAGAAAATTCTTCTAATATACTGACCCCTGTGGCATTGTATGATGACTTTTTTAGGCTGTTCAGCTACTTGGCTCTGTAGTGGATCGGCAGGGTGCCTTCCAGAATTGACTAGTTCACTTAGAAACCCTATGTATCCAATGGCCAGTCTGAGTGTGTCCACCTTGGAGAGTCGTTTCTCGTAAGGTAGGGTAGGTATGTGCGCCCTCAGTCCTTCGAAGGCGTCGTTTATGGATTGCATGCGGCGTCTCTCTCGAAGATTTGCGGCCTGCCTCTGTTGGACTTGTTGTTGGACGCACTTCCGACGTCTCCTCTGCTGCCGACCCCCGACATTCTCCTGATCGGCGTAGGGAGGCGGCGAATCGAAACCCCGTTCCAAATGCTGGAGGAACTGGCGATTGACCAGGTCCAAATTATCCATTAGGATCCCGATGGTGACCGCCGGTATTTGTGGGTCTGACCCACTTTACGAAACACCTGAAATCATTTAAAAAAAACTTTAATACTGTAAAAGAAAAGAACACATTATTGCTCAGCGTTGAAACCACAATATCCTTGTACTATTATAATGCGGTTAAAAATTTCTCCGACCTTCATAATATGCACTTCATATTATTAGACTCACTCTACGCAAAATCTTAAATGATACAGACTCGAATGGATTTAGTGCATCAATAAATTAAATGAGACGATATAAATGTAGAGCATTTATTATATATCAAGCATTATATTAGTATACTAATGAGATTGAACTGTAAAGTTTTAATAATGACATGATTTGCACGCGTTTATATATGCAATACTTTTCTATTTATGTCATTCGGGAGAGAGTCATAGGTTCGCTTGTATATTTAAACATTCTTTTTCAAAATTTTCAACTAAAGAAAAAAAAATAACTAATAATAATAATTTAAAATTTAATTTCCTTTTTCTCTTTCTTTTTCTTTAATTTTATTTTTATATTTATATTTTTTTCTTTTCCTTTGACACTTCCTTCTTTTTCAAAAGAAAAAAAAAACTTATTTGCTCTTTCTCCTTCATTAAAAAGAAAAATAAATAAGTGACAATTATTGTAATTTCTCTATCTTAGTAAAATATTTCTCTCCATCTTTTTTTAAACTAATAGACTTTCTTGTTTTGAATTCAATTTTAGGCTTTTGACGAATTTCATATTCGAAAAATTATATTTAAAAAAAAAAAAAAAAATTTGTTTATCCNTTTATTTAAAAAAAAAAAAAATGATAATAATAATTCTCCATTATAGTCTAGAATTTTTCTTTTCCTTTCTAAATTTCCCTTTTGTTTTTCTTAAGTGTTTGAATGCTTTCTACTTTTATAATTTTTTATTCTTACCTTAAAAATTTTATATGTTGTTATTTTATGTGTTTTACCTATGTTTTATGTATGTTTTGTCTGTAGAATGTTTGTTCTACTCTCGTGTGCCCTGAATAGGGCGGGACGAGGTACAAATAAACAATATACTTCCTATTAGTATTTATTCTTAACGCATGACAATGTTAACCCGTTGCTACACGAACGAGTGAAAACAGTCACGTAAAAACCGGATTATTCACCTAGAATCTAATAATATGGACAGTATTAATATTAAACCATGAGGACCGGAAATTCATTCTTCATTTTGATATTTGTGTCCGTTAACTGTTCGAAATATATAGGGATCTCTTGCATTTTTAGTTATTTGCTTCCATTTTTCGTTTTATTTATTTATACATTTAAAAAAACAAATTCTTCAACTTTAGGCCTTCTATTAAAGGGGTAGAAAAAATGTTAGGTGAGAGATTAAAGTATGAAGAAGTGAAAGGAATTAAAAATATTAATCTATAATTTCATTTATATTAAAAGCGAGCGTTCTTCCTACGAGGAGGAAAAAAAGTTATCACTAAATTAGTATTTGTTAACGCTACGAAATCGCGTACAAAATGGAAATGCACATTCTGACAAGCTGAAATAATTCCAATTTCATATTTATTTTATTATTCGTTGATCTTCCCGGTATCTTTACATTATTAGATTAAGCGAAACACGTTTTTAGAAGTTTATCCCAAAAGTAAGAATGAACTAATTCATTTGACATAATGCAAATATATTCGATTCCGTAATAGTCAACATTTACCACAATCAAAAAATTTTCCGGAATTCCCTTTCGGAAATGCAATTGACAATCAAAGAAAGACTCATTTTTTTCTTCTTATTCATTAGAGTTCTATTATTATCTAATTAGAAATCTTCTATAGTTTAATTTAAAACAATGACTAATGATAAACTACCTAGAATATATTATATACAGTCAACATGGTTTATAGTGAAAGAGTAATCGAAATGTTCGAGCCTTGCTATACATATGGAATGTTATTTTTTGCGGAATATCAAAAGAAGAGAGTAAATTGGATAGTATTTTTTTCATTCATTTTCTAGTCATTTTTGAAATTTCTACATATAATACACTTATCGATTTTTAAAACCATCTATGTCATGGAATGTAACAATAAGCATTTTTTCATGTTTACTTCTTCTATCTCAGTCAATAAAGGCTATCCCTAAATTTTTTTGTACGCAAGGCGAAGAGTTATAAAAAATAAAACACATTTTTTGTAACTACATATTATATTTTCATACCTGCCAACTTTTATGCATTTGGCGTAAACTCTTATTTCTATATTTAAAGTGGTAATAATATGAATGCTTTCACTATATTATTTGCATTTATAAACTTAATCTCTTTGACTACCACTATTTTTAAAAAAAATAAACATATATATTAAAATGTAATACTCCGCATATGCTTTTTCAAAATACAGCTTACGTTTCTGCCTAAAAATGTAATTTGAATTCCATCTTACTACCACTGGGGAAAATCATCCTCGAAAGGATTAAAAGTTGGTAGGTATGTTTTTTAATCATACTTTCAGTATCAGGAGTTAAAAATTCTTCATTTTACTTGTTGCCCAAATTTTAGCACAAATGGAGTGGGATACACACGCAAACAAACTTTTCATGTTATTAATATGCATAAAAAACCTAAAGGGGAGAAGACAGTAAAGCGTGCTTTAATAATTTTTTTAATATTTTTCAAACACATTCGTTGAAAATTACTATTTGGTTAGTTGCTAAATAGTTTAAAGTAGTTTTCCATCTGTATTTAATATAGATGTAGTACATGCTTACAATTTCTTTAATATTCATGTTAAAAATTTCAAATCTTACATAACAGTCCTGATATGATTTGTTTTATTCAAAAATATTATTGCAGAGATAGAAAAATAGCACAACTTTTGTGTGAACAATTTCATAAACTAAGCAATTTTGCAATCGTTTTATAATCTTTTAATTTTAAGTAAAATGCTTTATTCTATTTTGCGTATATTTGGACTAGTATTGATTATGTTTGCAGTACACAGAAAAAATATTTATAAATTTTAAATTTCAAAATATTATGCATTTTGCACTAAGGTGCATATTGTATTCAGATACTATTAGATTTGATACATTATACAAGTTTCAGATTCATTTAGCAATTTGTGCAAAATTACAAATTTAATTTTACAATTTACAAAAGTGAGAAGGAAGATAGTCAATACGATAAAATAAAATTACTAACAAAAGAAACATCTAATTGATATTTCATAGAAAAAAAGCAAACGATTTTAAAACAAGACTCAAGCCAGTTCTAGCTTCAGCATTTTTTTGTTTTTTTTGTTTTTTTATTCATTTGGCAATGATTGACTGAGTGTAGCTCCTTATTCTATGAGCCATTTGAAAAGAAATTTTACTATATAAAAATACTTTAATTTTTGTTGAGTGCGTTTTATAATTTAAACGTTTCTGCTCTATGTGTTCTACCAGCTATGAAATATTTTTTTAGTTATAGTTTAGTTACTGTTTTGTTTATCGTATAAAGTTTAATTATTTGGTGAAAAGGGCGATGCCAAAGCTTTAAATATGGTGGTGAGTTTTCGTGGTGGTGATTTTGCCAGTTACGTTTTTTTTTCTGAATAAATTGTTCATGATCGCTGATGATGCAAGAAAGAAGTAATGAAATATTAAAGGGGTGAGTGCATATTTTGTTTTCATTCAAAATCGAGTTTTATTAAATTTAATTGTTTCATTGCTAAAAAGTTCTTTCGTTTTTAAATACTTTCTGAGTGTTTTATTATCGATTGCTTTGTCAATGTTACTTTATAGTGATCACATTTTTTAAAAAATTTTTTCTTCATTTCTATAATAATGCACTCTTATTAGCAATTTCAGCAAACACTGTTATATACACGGTTTTTAAGTTCTGATTTATATTGTTTCAGTTTGTAAAATAATTAATTTATTTGCACATTCTTCAAAATTTTAGGTTTCCCTTTTTAAAAAATTCATTCATTTTTAAACAGTTAGGAAATTTAAGTTTTCATAACTCAAAATCGTGATTTTGAAATAGCAGTTGTAATTTATGTACTTTCAAAATTATTATAATGGTTAAATTTACAATATCAATATTATTTATATTAATTTTAAAGTATTAAATTTTTTTAATAAATATTAGGTGTTACAAATTCTTGTTTTTTTTTTTCTGAGAGTGACCCATTCAATAACGCCTACTATTAGAATACACATGTGATTCACTAAAGCACGCAAATTTATATATATATATATATATATATATATATATATACATGGATNTATATATATATGATTATTATTATTGTTATTGTTGTTATTATTATATACATAAATAGATAGAGAGAGGGGAGGGGGGAGAGAGGCCATTGGGGATGAAGGAAAAGAAAAAAATTCATAGAAAATTTAAAATTTTAAGATTTATTAAGTTTTATTTACGTATGCTGCCGGTACATGAAACCCATAATATAAAATAGAAATACAAAGAAAAGGAGGAGAGAAATAAAAAAAGAGAAAAGAGAGGGAAAAGAAAATAAAAGTTATAAAAATTGAAATTGAAAAATAATTAAAATTATTAAATTAGAGAAATAAACACCGAAAAGATTTACGGATATAATAGTAGCAGCTGATGACGAGATAATGACTATGTGTTGATTGTGAATTCATTTCTTAGCGAAACAATATTGGACGATGAATTTCATTCACCTCTGCAATTGCATTTTTTAATATTTTAGAGGAAAACTTAATAAATAAACTAACTGTTGTCAAAAATGAAAAATAATCATTCTCACTAGACAAAGTTGTGTATCGAGTATTATTACAAAAAAAATACGTTTTTAGTGTGCAGTCAAACCCCGTTATAGTGAACATTCAAGGGACCGAAATTTCTGTTCACTATAACCGGAAGTTTACTCTATTCGTACTGCAAACCATTTTAACTCATTTTTTCTTAACTGTTCCATTTTTTCGACACATTATTTAAATAAATGAGCCGTAAAAAGAAATGATTAAAAAACAATCACAAGAAATGTGCTCCCTTTTATGATTCTTCGTTTTGCGTACAAAAAAAT